GCTTCAAAACTAAATCTTAAATAACTTAAAAACGATTTATTTTAGGTATAGGAACATGTATAGTCAAAAAGTTAAGTAATTGAAAAACCATTTCACTAGTGAAATAAAAAAAGTGGGTTTCCATTTGAAAAAAAATATTTATGATAATTTTTTAATCGCTCAATTCCATGACAGCTGCGGCCATTATTATATGACACTCGAAAATTTAATTTTTGAAATAGATAGCCACATTCATGTCTTCTCTTTATGGCACAGTGGCTGTGGTAATCACTAAATTTGACGTTTAGGCTATACACATATTTTTGACAGGCAGATTTTTTCGTCCAAAATTTTAATGTATTTTTTTTCTCAAAAACGGTTAATGGGACACCCATTTAAAATAAGAACTTCAACTTCAATTTCCGGTACTTTCGGAAGTTCCGCCATATTGAAAATATTTTTAATCGATAGATCTCGTTCTGAAACAATGATGTGCAAAAAATCTCCCATCTAGATGTTCTAGTTCTCTAGAAACTTCTAATGCATGCTCAGCCTGAGACACCCTACCCTGTATATCTACTATTTTTTTTAAATATATCTAAACAGAATTATTATTTATAAGGTACCTTAAAATAGGCCTGATCTTCTAAAATAAATCATACAGTAATTATCTGTGTTTTTATTACTCTGAATAGACCCATTTTTCAATCTGTTGAATTTGATGCGTGTCTTTAGAGCAACAGACTGCAACAGCGCCCATTCATTCTCCGGAGGGTAAACGAACTGCGGTGTTTATTTTTACATTTGTGCCGCTCGAGACGCTCCACTTCGTTCCCTGGCCATATATTTTTAGTTTTGATTGTTGTTCTAATGTATGTGTCTCTTTGGCAGAGCATACGCATCAGCTGCATGTGCTATTTATTATTAATACAGGGTGGCGCCGTATTAATACTCATCCGCCGCGGAAGCTCCAAGGAGAACGGTAGTTCATATCGAAATGAACTTTTGGCAGCATATGTAGGTTAACTGAAAGCATTTTATAACAGTATATAGAATGATACAGGGTGTCCGCAAATAAAATGATACACATAAAAGTTGTGTTTTTAATGGAGCACCCTATACAGGGTTGTTCACCACATACGACACGGAGTATTGTAGCTAAACGATGAGATTTTTACAAATTGTAAGTTTGGGGTTCGTTGAAGGACTATTAGAGCTACAATTTAAAAATATTTTTACAAGATACAGAGTGTCCCAAATAAATAAAAAATATCAAAGTTGTATTTATTTAAATGGAACACCCTGTATATTATTACATTTTTAGTTTCTACGATTAAAATAAAGGTAAATTTGATTAAGGTTTATTATACTTAAACCTTACCGTTTTTGAAATATTTTCAATTTTGTGAAATTGCAGTAAAAATTTTAAAGCTTCATTTCTCCAAGGGTATCAATGTTTTTAATACTAAATATTTAATGAAGTTTATTTATTGATCAGTTATTGTGTTGCAATAATAAAAATAATACTACCTTATACAGAGTGTCTAAAAATTTATTTTAAATAATTATTAGCTTCAAACGGCAATAACTTCTTTAATTTAAATGGAATGCCCTGTATATTTTAGGAGAATCAGATGCACAATTAAATTGTCTATCAAATTGTATTATACCATTTTTTACCTGTCCCTTCAAGTTTTCGTAGAAAATGCATTTTCTTATAATTTAGACCTCATTTATCAATATATCCATGGAATATTGACATTTTAGATTGTTTTTAAAGCAACAAATGTACAAAATGTACAGACTAGTAATATTATCGTTTTTAACAAAACGATAATATTACTATGACCATTATATGCAAAAAGAAAACTATTTAAATCTTTATAAAAGAGTTTACCATTAATTAAATATAACACCATTATTTCCGCCCATATATTAATTAATTACATACTTAATTGTGTTCGTTAATAAATTATTATAAATAAATGTGGATTTGAGTCAGAAATCAATATAATAATAAGTTATCAAATTAAAGTCTCTGTTGTTATAAATAAGCATTTATTAAAAAATGAAATATCATTTTAAGGTGTTACTTTTATCACACTGTCTAATGCCCATACAAAATTCAGTTTTTAGTATTTGGAGCAATTATTATTAATCAACGCAAACAGTCAGTTAATGTAGTTTGAATACTGGAATCATATTAATTGGTCCTCTTTAACAAATATTTAAACAGTTTTTTTTTTATTTTTTAATGAAATAAACGAATTATATCGACAATATTAGTATCTGTACTCTTTAAAAATTTGGTACATCTTTAAAAATAATCTAAAATGTCAATAGTCCATGGGTATATTGATAAATAAGTTCTAAATTACAAGAAAATGCATTTTCTACGGAAACTTAAAGAGGTAGGTAAAAAATGGTATAATATAATTTGATAGACAATTAAATTGTGCATCTGATTCTCGTAAAATATACAGGGTGTTCCATTTAAATTAAACAAGTTATTGCCGTTTGAAGCTAATAATTATTTAAAATAAATTTTTAGACACTCTGTATAAGGTAGTATTATTTTTATTATTGCAACATAATAACTGATCAGTAAATAAACTACAGTAAATATTTAGTATTAAAAACTTTGATACCCTTGGAGAAATGAAGCCTTAAAATTTTTACTGCAAATTCACAAAATTGAAAATATTTCAAAAACGGTAAGGTTTAAGTATAATATAAATCGTAATCAAATTTACCTTTATTTTAATCGTAGAAACTAAAAGTGTAATAATATACAGGGTGTTCCATTTAAAAAAAACAACTTTGATATTTTTTACTTATTTGGGACACACTGTATCTTGTAAAATTATTTTTAAATTGTACCTCTAATAGTCCTTCATCGAACCCAAAACTTACAATTTGTAAAAATCTCATCGTTTAGCTACAATACTCCGTGTCGTATGTGGTGAACAACCCTGTATATTAATTGATTTTCGGATTCTAGGAAAAAAATAAAGGTGAGTTTTATTAAAGAAGCACATACCTAAAATCTAAGGATTTTGACATATTTCATATTTTGTGAAAATGAAGAGTAAATTTTAAATTTCGATAACAGCTTCGTAAATTTTAGTTGACCTTGTATAGCCTGATATTTAATTACAGTAGCCATTGTATGTTAAACCAAATTGAAATTTGACCGGAAAAGTTATACAGGGTGAGACAAAATTGATATGGAACAGTAGTCATTTTTAAAAGCAAGTTACTCCTTTATTTTAAATAGAACACCTAGTATATATTCCCGTGTTCAATGGGGAATTTATACATCTTCAAAATATTATTAAGGTTTTCTACCCCTCAGACAAAGATTTTCCTAGATGTTTTAATTTTTATGATTTTGCGTCAGTAGATCTTTATTATTTGGTGTGATTTAGTGTGATATAGCTTTTGTTAATTTAACAAAAATTAAAGATTGTAGAGTAAAATACTCAAGAGTAATAAAAAGATACACGTTTAAAACATATTTTAATTATTATAGAATTAAAACTAAATAACTAAGTATAAACCTATAATTATAATTATGTGACAAAAGTTAGCTAGATGAAATCAAATGCTCAAAATGCTTGCTTTCCTGTTAACTGCATAAAATGATTGTCTTTTCAAAAGAATCTTTTCATTTTAAAAGGCGTATGTGGAGTTCTACCTCGAAAAGCAGCTACAACAATTTCTCTCATGTTGTCGACAATAGTTGGTCGAGTTTTGCATACACTGTCTTTAACATATCCCCACAAAAAAAACAGACTAGATAAAATCAGGAGCATTTAATTATTCTATTAATTGATGAATGCACACTGCATTCACCAAGTAATATAATCATATCAATTCTATCTGATGTTGGATAAGTTTGCATTTTCAGCAAATTTCTGAGATTTTTTTTTGTTTTTACTGATACAAAGTGATAACTAGTTGTTAAAGTTGGACTAATTAGACAGCTATGTTGAAGTAACGTCAGACATATCACCAGCCACCTAGATTTTATCAAATAACAAAGATCTACTCAGATCAAGTCATGTAAATGAATATATCTAAGAAAATCTTTGTTCGAGGGGTAGGCAACCTTAATAGTATTTTGAAGAGACATGAATTCTCCATTAATCGGAATTATATAGTAGGTGTTCCATTTAAAATAAAAGAGTAACATGCTTTTAAAGGTGACCAATGTTCAATATAAATTTTGTCTCACCCTGTATAACTTTTTGGATCAAGTTTTGACTTAATTTAAAGTACAATAGTTATTTTAACTACATATTAGGCTATATCGGGTAAATTCAAATTTAGGTAGCTTTTATTGCAATTTAAAAATTGTTCATTATTTCTAGAAAATATTAAATATGTCAAAAACCTTACATTTTAGTCATATACTTCTCTTATAAAACTCACCTTTATTTTTCTCCCAGAATCCGAAAATCAATTAATATATAGGGTGTTCCATTGCAAAAAACACAACTTTGATATGTAACTTTTTTTGGGGACACCCTGTAGAACACTCTATATTTTTAAAAAGTGCTCTGAATTAACCTACATATGCTCACAAGGAGCCTCCGTGGCGTATCAGAGGCGCCACCCTGTACAAACTACCATACGATCGAAAAAAAAACGGCGTCAAAGACAGCTGGAGAATAACAAATCGATTATAATTTTGGCGAGATCAAGCCCTAGACGTCATTTATTTGGCCATCAAATGGCGCTTACTGCCAGTTGGTCTTAAAAAGGTTGTAATTTATTTTTATATCGAGTAAAAATGATTTTCAAATGGTGTATGTTAAAATTTGAAAATTAATATGTTTTTGTAAATATATTATGTGTCTGGAAACGTCCTACCCTTTTTCAATTTTTCTATAATTATGTGTTAATTTTTGACATTGACCCCAGCAAAATTATTTTCGATCGTCATTTCCCAGCTGCTTTTGACGCCGTTTTTTTTTCGGTCATCGGTACTTACAATTACAAAAACAATATGTACTTACGTTACAATTGCGTCCACTTTCAGTACCACTACAGAAGAAATTAACATGCAACTCAGAAGAACTTTCGCCAGCATTTTTAATCCGGACCGCTGAAATTTCGAAAACAGAAATATTAAAAATTATTAAGAATTCAATGTATATCAAAGTTATTAATGAGTGTTTTGCTAAATAGTGACAATACAAATAATTAAACAAGATAGTTGGACGATTTGACCTTTGAGTACCGACAGGGGCGTCTCTAGTCTATTTTTTGGAGGGCAGAATGAAATGCAAGAAATAAATGACTTTATCTTTCATGTTACATCAACAAATAGGGAAGTTATTCATAGCTTGCATCACAATCAAATTTTTTACAATAAAATTTATTTTTTCTTTAGAAAATATTAGATGAATAAATAAGTTTAAGAGTCAATTTCACTAGTCCGAAAAGTAGCAAAATAAGCGTTCGGCATTTAACGTTTTATGTCAAACTGGCTAGGTATTTGTACACAAATGAAGAAGGAAATTAAAGATAAAGGATTATACCGTATGATCGAGAAAAAACGGCGTCAGCGATGGCTATGGAATGAAGATCGCTGTCATTTTAAATGTAAATTTATATGGGAAATGTCATTGATGTTCATTTCCCAGCCAACTGGACGCCGTTTTTTTTTCGATCATACGGTACTATATCCGTATTGTAGCACATTTTTATACAACTTCTTTATTTGTAAGATTTTGATGGCCAAACATCAACAAAATATTTTTCCTCCTTATTTGGACTAAATTTTCTCGAAAATAAAGACAATTTAAAATCCCGTTACACTACGGAAATGGATTACAGTTGAGGGTTGGAACCTTTGGTGTTACACAGCAAAAAAAAACACTAAATCACCACAATACACCAAAACACTTTTACTTTTACACTGGACGCGCGTTTCGCTAACCATGTTAGCATCATCAGCAGATGATTATAAACTAAAGTACAATCTACAAGTTGAGCGTTTATATACTCGCTCAGTGGGCACAGAGTGGGCGTGGCAAAATCTAGCCAACCGACTCAGAGCCCACTGAGCGTAACAGTTAGATTTCCGCCACTGGAGTAGTAGGAACAAAGAACTTGAAGGAATTGGACCGTTGTCTCTGTTCATACTATCTTTACATTTAATAATTCTGATGCTTTCATGTGCATCTAATTGCCTGAAATTTGAGACTTGTTTAATTAATTTTAAATTATTAAGATCTATACAATGTTCTTTCTCAACAATATGTTCGGCAACGCAAGATTTATCCGGTCTACCATATCTTATCTGAGCTAAATGTTCTTTAAATCTAGTTAATATATTGATCTTCTAGTTTCCCAACATATTTCTGATTACAATGTTTACAAGAAATTTCATAAATACCCGACCTTTCCAGTGGAGGTGTTTTATCCTTTGGATTACCTAATAATTGTCGTAATTTATTATTAGCACTATACACAAGTTTATAATTGACATTCTTAAAAATTCCTGTTAGACCACGGGATAAGTCTCTATCAAACGGTATTGAAAAATATTTAGACGTATCTTTCTCCACTTGAAAAGTTGAATTTTCACAAATCATTAACCTATACCTACGTTTTCTAATTAATTTATTAACTAGTGAAGGAGAATATCCATTACACTCAGCTACATTCCTAATGTAATCTCTTTCTATTTTATATCTTTCGTTGGAAAGTGGGAAACTAAGTTAGTTCTTAGAGTTACGTTAAATACGGAAATAGACTGAAGTTTTGTGAAATACGGAAATAGACTGAAGTTTTTTTATTACAATGATGGTTTAGTAACAAATTGCTCGCCATTTTATGGCAAATGCTGAAGCTCCGTAAACCTTAATCAAGCCTTAATCAAAGCACTTGTGTTTGGAATTTTGGGTGTGGCTTAACACAACAGGATCGGGCTAAGCCTTAGGCAGATTTCTGGAATATAATATATATTTCCTTCGGTCACACGTCCGCTTTACCCGACCCCTGAGGGCGACCCGAACAGTACAGCGTAATAGACTCTTAACTAAATGACCATTGTACAAATATTTGGCTAGAGAATGTAAAATGAGTAAAGGTGCATCCAGACTTGACGAGACGAGAGCGAGACGAGCGCGAGACATTCCAAATTTGCTAAGTGTGGACGGGTCCCGGAGCCTCGTTACTATCCGTCCTCTGTCGGTTTTACGACGACCGATCAAAGAAAGCTCGCGGCACTTTCTGGACGTGTTTTTGGTAGGCTTCGCGATATTAGCTTTGATTTATGAATTTCGACTATTTCAAATTAAATAATCTCAATTTTTTTAAATGGTACACCGTATGTATTATCATTTTTTCTGATAGAATTTACAAACTTTGCTTCATTCATAATTTTTACTGTAGCGAAATCTAATATTTCTTTAAAGAAATTGAATTATTACTAAATCTATTAATTTTAGATAACATCATATGCAAAAAAAGTTACCGAACTGTACGTAGAATATAATAATAAAATAAAAAAAATATGGTATTCCAATTAAAAAATATATATTATATTGTCTCAAACGAATCGGTTCTTGAAAAAGCTAACTGCGAGAGTATCGATGTAATATGTTTACAAAATCCCGCTTAAGATGGGCTGGTCACGTATGCAGAATGCAAGAAAACCGCATACCAAAATCTCTGCTTTACGATGGGCTTGTAGACGGTAAGAGGAGGCCGGGTGGACAACTCAAAAGGTACAAGGATATTTTCCACGTAAACTTAAAGGGGATTAACATGCAGAATGAGTGGGAAGAAGCAGCTCACAATCTCACAATAGAAAGGAATGGAGAAGAATTATTGTAAACTCAGTTAACAGCGACAACCAAAAAGTAAAGAGGCAACAAAGTAATGAGATTTTTGAATGTCCGGAGTGCGGTGGACAGATAACATCACGTATCGGGCTTTTCAGTCACAGAAAAGCTCATGACAGAAAAACGCCTTGCGTAACCATCTTCTGATGCGGGTCAAATACTCGTCAGCGAGTAGTGGCAGTATGGTGGCAGTATGTATGTATGTATGTATTATATCCGCCACACTTTTTTGAAGTATACTCTACAGTAATTTTAAAATGTGCTTCTTAACCTTCCCTATAACTTTTCTATTTATCATTTTGTTCTAAAAAACGTATTTTGTAAAAGACGTTGTGTCTCGAAACAAATGTAGGACTAAAGGAGAAAACAACCAAAACGGAAAAAAAAACGACGATGAATGATATATTAAACTTTAAAATACATGAAAATTTTAAGATGAAGATATATTTTTATATTACAGAAGAAAAAAATTACTAAAATTTGGGAAGCTTATTAGATCATTAGGCCGGCCCAAAAGATGCGCCACTGTACAGGGAAGACGCGCTTCTTTGATACGAGCCTATCTCTTTGTAAATTAGAAAATTTTGATAACGAGTGTTTTACTTTGATGTGCTAGAGCGTCGATTGCATTTTATACTACTATCCTTTCTTTCTTTTTTATTTGTCGCTTATGTTAAACAATAATAGACGTGATTAATGTGGGTTTCTGCTGATAATCACTCAATGTTAGCACAACACAACAGCACAAATAATCGATAGGGAAAACGCATTTGTGGTAATTTGATCTTATTCTAAGTAAAATAGAATTATTTCTATTTCTTTTAAATTTTCTTGGCATTTTGTTCTTTAAAAAGAGGTGTTTTGAAAGAACTTGTGATGAGCGGACTGGTCTTGCGGTCTTGGTTTGGTTTGGTTTTGTCTTTTTTTTGTGCAAGACAAGCAAGGATTTTTTTGTGCAAGACTCAGACCAAGATTCAGAGTGTAAGACTCTTGTGATCCTGCATTTTTTATGTTTTTTATTTATTAATTTTTTTACTCATATCATTTTTCATAGATAATTATTTAAAAACGTAACAAAATTTTTATTAATTTTCCTCTTTCGGCTACTTCATACGGTATAACATATAACAGATACTTATTTGTTCAAAATTATTATTTTAATTTATTACAAGTACTCTTTTCCTGACTTTTAAAACTTAATGATACATACGTTTTTTTATTTAAAATACTATTATACCGGGTGCGTCTCAAAAGTGGCTTCCCCTATAAGTTTTTTATTTTCTCAAATAAGAAAAAACGAGATTTGGTATGTTAGTATATGACATAAATTAGGATTAATTGACGTATTTAATTGTTTTTGGTCACTTCCTGTTTCACCGGAAATGACTACAACTTTTGATTTTTAAATGGCACCCTCGGTTTTTTTTACTTTATTCGATATAAAATAACACTCTGGATAGAATGAAATATCATATGTCAACTTTGACATTTTCGGATATGGTTTATTTGAAATGATAACTTGTGGTTTGTAAGGAAAATTTGACTCTAAATACCAAGTGTGTAGTATCAAATTATTCGTAAAAAATGCTTTTTCCAAATATGCTAATGAGCCACCTTCGTTCCATTTGAAAAAATTGAGATATGATTAAAAATACGATTTGGGTATTTTTTAACCGGCCAGGATAAGACACTAAGAACATTAGACGGTCAAATATATTTTTCTAAGGCTCCTTGACTAAAAATTAATGTTTTTGACATAGTCGTGGCACTCTCGATTGAAATTTAAAATGCAATTTTTTATTTACCGAGAATGTCAAAAGTTGACATATGATATGCCATTCTACTCAGAATGTCATTTTCTATCGAATAAAGTAAAACATTCCGAAGGTGCCATTTAAAAATCAAAAGTTGTAGTCATTTCCGGTGAAACAGGAAGTGGCCAAAAACAATTGAATACGTCAATCAATCCTAATTTATGGCATATACTAACATACCAAATCTTGTTTTTTTATCTGAAAAAATAAAAAAGTTATAGGGGGTGAGCCACTTTTGAGACGCACCCGGTAGGGGTGAGCAACTTTTGGGACGCACCCGGTATATCTAGATCCAAAAGCGTGTTTTTAAAAAACACATTGTTCTCAAAATTAGAAGAATTGTGAATGTAATAATTATAAAAATGCCCCTCTAAGGTTTCACTATGTTTTTAAAAATTTCTGCTCGTGCATAGAAAACAAAAGATATCATTTTGTAATGATTAAAGATGTGATGATTGCAATTGCCTTAAAATAGAAATTATGTCAATTACTTGAACCTATACATGTGCGGTTTATAATAAATACGGCTAAACTAGAAGAAACTCTGTTTTCATTCTCTAGCAGAATTTTTAATTACTATAATTAATAACTAACTTAATTTTTTAATGTAATAATATACCGTATGATCAAAAAAACGGCGTCCAGTTGGCTTGGAAATGACGGTCGGTGACATTCCCTATATAATGATACATATATAAAATGGCAGCGATATTCATTTTATACCCATCGCTGACGCCGTTTTTTTTATCATATTGTATATATGTATCACCCTGTATATGTACCAGAATACATTTTAAATGTGCGATATCATTGTTCGCATATTTCGTAAAAAATTGTATAATATACCGGGTCGTCTCAGAAGTCTCTTATAACTTTTTTTAATTTTTTCAAATAAAAACGAAATAAGATAGTTTGTATATGACATAAATTAGGATTGATTGGCGTATTCAATTGTTTTCGGTCACTTCCTGTTTCACCGGAAATGACAACAACTTTTGATTTTTAAATGGCACCCTCATTGCAGTATATTTTTACTTTATTCGATAGAAAATGACACTCTGAATAGAATGACATATCACATGTCAACTTTTGACATTCTTGCTTAAAAAAAATCGTGTTTTAAATTTCAATCTAGAGTCTGGCTGTATTAAAAATATTAATTTTTAATCAAGGAGCCTTGGAAAAATAGATTTGATCGTCTAATGTTGTTCTTTTATTGTCCTGGTCGGGCTAAAAGAGGCCCAAATCGTATTATTTTTAATCATATTTCAATTTTTTCAAATGGAACGAGGGTGGTTCATTAGCATATTTGGAAAAAGCATTTTTTTACGAATAATTTGATACCACAAACTTAAAACGCATGTTACTATTTCAAATAAACCATATGTGAGAATGTCAAAAGTTGACATACGATATGTCATTCTATTCAGAGTGTCATTTTCTATCGAATAAAGTAAAAAATATCAAGGGTGTCATTTAAAAATCAAAAGTTGTAGTCATTTCCGGTGAAACCGGAAGTGACAGAAAACTATTGAATACGTCAACCAATCCTAATTTATGTCACATACTAACATAACAAATCTTGTTTTTTTTTATCCGAAAAAATGAAAAAGTTATAGGGATGAGCAACTTTTGAGACGCACCCGGTATAAGTAAAAATATCAAATATGGAGCTTTATCGAAATGGTGGATCACCCTGTATAGCTAAAATTGAGAGAAACAATAGAAGCACATAAAGATTCAAAGTGTAATTTTATTTAAAAAAAATTTCTTGGTATTTTACATAAATATATATAATATTTAAAGTCAATTAATAAATAATATTGACCCCTAACAAGAAAATATGTTATTTTTGTAATATTAAGAACAGTAAATAGTAAATATGTGCACGCAATCTTAGATAACACAAGGTCTAATAATATTAAATTATTCTTAAATGTAGAATAATGTTTTTAATTAAATTTTGCTTCTATCTAAGATGTCCCAAATGATGACAGTTTGCTATACAAAATTTTATAATTCAATTGTTCTTATTTAAATTTAAAATTAAACACCCTGTATATATATAGTCGTAAATTTTATATGTTATTATGAATGATATTGAATAAATTTATCTAATTTATTAAATAAAACCAATACTTATTTATAGAATAGTGACAAAGGAAGTTGTAGAAGTACAAAAACAAAAACTATATTATTGTAAAATTAAGTTGCGGAGTAATATAAATATTTTAAATTTATACTGAAATATTTTATTTACCTTTTATCTAAATCTTGCGGCATATATTAAAACAAACTAATGCACCACTAATCTACTGAAGGAACGGAAACATATTAATCCTCGGAAAGGCACTAAGAGACTGAACGAAGATGCGCTCAAGCAGTTTATTTTTGGAATTTAAAAATTCAATCGCCCGCCATAGCTCCGTAACTAACACAATTATCCACCAGATGGTACTTTAAACACTCACAAAAATAAAATGTTGCATTAGCGATCTCTGTATACAATGAATTTCGTACGTGAATATCCGACGAAGATCCGACGATTGTGTGTTTTTTATTTGCTTTTAAAACCATTTTTAAATTTACGACTTAAAATTCTGAACGTACCCATTATTTCGGAATACATCCAATACAAAATCAATCTGACGTTTGACGTTTAGCACTTTTCAAAACATGGTCGATCAAAACATTGCGTTTGGAAGAAATTCGGTTTAAACTCGGATTTAGAAGAAAATATTATGCTTTTAGAAAGAAATATACAATGTTCCATTTGTACAAGTACAGTACTTTATCACTCCAACGAAATTTGCCCTTGTCATTACGTAGTTTAAGAGCAAATTCTGAATTAAGCGGAACTGAAAAAACGTGCCTATTATGTAAACATTTAAATGTTAATTTGCGGTGTAAGTTTTATTAAATATTAATGTATTTAATTTATTTTGGAGCATTTATTAGATATTATTACGATCTATTTGTTTCTCAGTTATTCAAAGTTTTTTTAGAAGTACAGTTTTACTGACAGGCAAGGTTATTTTTTTATAGTTAAGTTCAAAAGCTCAATGTTATTATACGAAAAAGTGTTGTAGATAATGGTAATTTACATTAGTTTTAATGTTATCTGTGTTTTAGTGCAAGCAAGAGATCAGTCTTCTGTTACTAACCCAGAAGTAAAGAAACGTAAGCGTACAAGAAGAAGACGAACTAAAAATACTACTGACGTTTTTGTTGGTAAGTGTAGTTTATTAATAGTAATAGGATTACATTTTTAATGTATTCTTTTTGTAGTAACTGACAAGTTTTCTGGTTTGCAAAAGGCAAAAATTGTGAAGTTTACTTCTGAGGATTTAAATGTATTGACCCAATCGGATTTTAGTTTAGATGAATTATATAAAATAAGGCTGTTAACACATAGAAATGCTGATCAATCTTCTCATACATATAGGTATGTTCTTATAATTATAATCCAAAATATAAACATAATACACTAGGTGATATATAATTTAAAATCTGAAACATATCTGATGGAACATTTTTATTGAGAATTCCTTATTTTTCTTTCGTAGTAACTTAGCCATAGAGGGCCTTAGTTCTGTAGCAAATGAGGTTCCAGAAATTATACCAGACACTCCAATTGCTGAACCTACTACATCTGATGTGATAACTAATAGGTATTTTAGTTTATGTTCTTATGTTTTATAGTCAGATTCATATATAGTGTTAATAATTTATTTTAGTAATATTTCTGTTAAAAAGAAGACTTCTAAAGGAAAAAGTAAAGCAGTAACAGAAACGAAAAATGATCTTGAAGAAGATGTCGTAGAAGATTATGAACATAATGACGTACAGTTTAAAAGGTATTTTTTCTTATTTTTTATAATAGGGCATCTAAATTTTTAATTTTCTTATTGGCTGTTATTAAAAATATGTATATGAAGGGCAAGGGGAAAAAAGCAGGTAAATCAATTTCTCTTCATGTTCAAAACAGAAATTGGCAGCAGGCCTAGAAATAGTAGTAGAGATTTGTTAGAACTAGGTAAAGTATTTTTTATTAGATAAAATACCATTGTAACATACAATTGTTAGAACTTGACGTTGACTTAGCTGGTTTTCTCCTCTTTTTGCTTGACTTGCCTGCTTTTTTTCTTTTATAGTATAATTTTGACGCTATACAGGGTCTCTCATACGCCGTGGCGGCTCCAAAGAGAATGGTCGTTTATATCGAAATGAAATTTTGGCAGCATATGTAAGTTACTGAAAGCATTTTATAAAAATATATAGAATTATACAAGGTGTCCCCAAAAAAGTTACACATCAAAGTTGTGTTTTTTCTAATGGAACACCCTATATATTAATTGATTTTCGGATTCTAGGAAAAAAATAAAGGTGAGTTTTATTATAGAAGCATATACCAAAAATATAAGGATACACTATATAAGGATAACATATTTCACATTGTGTGAAAATAAAGAGTAAATTAAGTTAAACCAAATTGAAATTTGACCCGAAAAGTTATACAGGGTGAGACAAAACTAATATGGAATATTAGTTACTTTTAAAAGCAAGTTACACCTTTAGCTTAGATGAAATCATGCTCAAAATGCTTCCTTTCCTGTTAACTGCATAAAATGATTGTCTTTTCAAAAGGATATTTTCATTTTAAAAGGCATATGTAGAGTTCTACCTCGAAAAGCAGCTATAATAATTTCTCTCATGTTGTCGACAATAGTTGGTCGTGTTTTGTAAACACTGTCTTTAACAGTTTCAACTGACACAAAATGATAACTAGTAGATAAAGTTGAATTAATGTAACAGCTACGTTGAAGTAACGTCAGACCATATCACAGCCACCTAGATTTTATCAAATAATATAGATCTACTCAGATCATATCATGTAAATGAATATATCTAGGAAAATCTTTGTTTGAGGGGTAGGCAACCTTGATAGTATTTTGAAGAGACATGAATTCTCCATTGAATATCGGAATAATATACTGGGTGTTCCATTTAAAATAAAAGAGTAACATGCTTTTAAAGGTGACCAATGTTCAACATTAATTTTGTCTCACCCTGTATAACTTTTTGGACCAAGTTTTAATTTGATTTAAAGTACAATAGTTAATTTAACTACATATTAGGCTATACCGGGTAAATTCCAATTTAGGTAGCTTTTATTGTAATTTAAAAATTGTTCTTTATTTTTAGAAAATGTTAAATATGTCAAAAACCTTACATTTTAGTCATATATTTTTCTTATAAAACTCACCTTTATTTTTCTCCTAGAATCCGAAAATCAATTAATATATAGTATGTTCCATTACAAAAAACACAACTTTGATATGTAATTTTTTTGGGGACACCCTGTAGAACTATAAGTACTCTATGGTTTTAAAAAGTGCTCTGAATTAACCTACATATGCTCACAAAATTTCATTTCAATACAATCTGTCGTTCTCCTTGGAGCCCCCGCGGCGTATGAGAGGCGCCACCCTGTATATCTTCTGACTAGGCTGTTTTTTCCCAGTTTGGCGGTTTCTAAAGATGCTTACACTCACTCTGAACTCTTTAAATTTTAGTTTGGGTATATCATCGTCGTTTCAACCCGAGGTGGAAGAAGAAGATATTGTGGAAGCCAGCAAATCTGGTATTAAGGAAGAACAGACCGATAATGTCTCAAAACCTTATGTCGAAGAACATAGAAATGAAATTGCCGCCAGAACGTTGGCCGCGTACATAGAGGTATGCAACAATTTAAGGAATCCGAAAAGGGGTTTTCAGGCTCTACAGTTTCATCAAGTTAGAGTCAAACGTAACAGCAGTAGGTTTTCGCCGATGAAGCAGCTAAATGTCTACTGTACTTTACTTAAAGTAAGTATCTATTTAAGTGTAATTTGGTTTTGTTTGTTATTTACCTTGAGCTGGGGTTTCCTAGGAGTGTCGGCCGGCCGAAACCGACCGCAACGGACGTTCGCTCGATTTTCGACTGTATTTTTGGGTCAAGTTTTATTTAGCCGAAATCTTTTAAAAAAGAAAAAAAAATATCATTTAGGTATCTCAGGGAGTATATTACTGAAAAAAATTTGCCGCGGAAATGCGTCACCATTTTTTGAATGCGGTTTAAAAGTAACGAAATGACATACATGAAAAATTAATGTTATTTCATATTTTAGACGTCTTTGTAACTACTAATACGAAAATGAAATTCCGCGGAAATGCGTTATTCCACCACTATGCAGCGATCTTCTTCCCGACCGAGTTCCCGACCTTTCCCACAGATCAATGAATAATATCTATTCTTATCAACTTAATATCGCTATGGTCAATAAATGCGAAAATTTTAAAAAAATTGTCAATAAAGTAGCAAAAAACGACAACTAAATCAAACCAAACCGAAAGGACATATATGTAAAAAAGTTGGAAAACTTTGAAATATTGAAGATTTTCAATTACACCGCCCTTATGATAAATTGCCGCGGAAAAAATTATACCGGGTGTTGCATCGTCGGACGGGACATAGGAAATCCCATGTAAATTTTAATGGGGTCAATTATTGGCTTCTCTAATTATTTTAGAGAATAATTCTATTTAGGTTTATTGAAGAGCACTAAAACCCACATTCAAAAGAATAACTTTAGATATTTTTGATTAGCTCGTTTACGAGTCATCGCCGATTTCTTTTTAAATATTTCTCCTTTCTTATGGCCCTGTATTTACTTATGAGCACCAGTCAAGGTAAGAGATAACTGTCAAAGGAAGTTGTCATTTCAGAAATTTACCTATTTAGTGCTTTATTATTATTGAAAACTCATTCCTACATCGGAAATCTTAAAGATGTATTTATAAATACAAATTAATATGAATTAAAGTAAAATAAAGTAATCAATTACAAGGTTAATTATAGTATTATTACAATATTCAATAACTTATTAATTTAGGTACTATTAAATTGTTAGAACTTTAGGATTTAAAAAGATGTTCAAATATTCCTCCATCGACTGCTAGACAATAACCCAGGCGATCATAAAATGCTCTTCTTACATTCGCTAGTTGGTAAACTGAAATTCTATTGCATTCGGCAGAAATAGCATTTTTTAATTCGTCTAGATTTGGGTATTTTTTATTCTTGTATATCCTGTTTTTTAAATGGCCCCAGAGAAAGAAATCATTTGTCGAAATATCAGGAGACCTTGCTGACCAATTTACTGTATGATTTAGGCCAATAACGTTTCCGTTAAAACTATTGTCTAAATATTCCCGAAGAGCCAGGGTACTATGTGCCGGGCAGCCATCCATTTGGTACTAAACTTCCTGATTTTCCCTAGCGGCATCATGTAAAATATGATTTTCGAGTAGTTCCAAATAATATTCTGCATTTAAATTTCGCGTAAGAAATAATGGCCCGATAATATTGTGTCCGAATATCCCTGCCCAAACATTTACTTTCTGTGGATATTGAGTCCTTGTTTCGACAAACCTGTGTTGGTTTTCTTTGTTCCAATATCGATAATTTTGAACATTGGGCTCATTATTTAAGGTAAACGTGCATTCGTCAGTGAAACATATGTTTTTTAAAAATTCCCTATCTGTGTTTGCTCTTTCCATCATATCAAAACAAAACGCCTGCCGCCGTATTTCGTCCCCATCTCGTAGCTCTTGGTGTTTTTCATATTTGAAGGAATAGTATTTATGTCGTTTCAAAATTCGATCTTTCCATCGTTCTCTTCCACGCGCAATAAAACTTCCAAGTCGGTATCATTTCTTGCACCTTCTCTTTGTTCCTGCCTTGCTTCACATCTGCAGTTATTTATTAGGGTACCTTTGGTCTCAAATTTCTGGATATTCCTTGCGATTGTAGATTTTCCAGGTATCGGATACCTATTCGGATACAGAGCAGCAAACATGTCCGACACCTTTTGATAACTATTTCCTTGATAATACCATTTAATCATCAATACTTTTTCTTCGGTAGTGTAATTAATGGCTAATATTTTCGATGTAGGTATGAGTTTTTAAGAATAATAATAAAGCACTAAATAGATAAATTTCTGAAATGACAACTTCCTTTGACAGTTATCTTTTACCTTGACTGGTGCTCATAAGTAAATACAGGGCCATAAGAAAGGAGAAATATTTAAAAAGAAATCGGCGATAACTCGTAAACGGGCTAATCAAAAATATCTAAAGTTATTCTTTTGAAATGTGGGTTTTAGTGCTCTTCAATAAACCTAAATAGAATTATTCTCTAAAATAATTATATGGAAGCGAATAATTGACCCCATTAAAATTTACATGGGATTTCCTATGTCCCGCTCGACGATGCAACACACGGTATACGAGAGCTATTATTATATGTATTGATATTTAATTTTATTACATTTTTTTCAGGGTTTTGCAAACAAAGGCGATTATCAGTCTTTACAAAGAATCTTGGAAATAATGAAAGAAGAAAATATCTCACCAGATATGCAATGTTACATTGCCATTTTTGCGTGCTTAGGTAAAATTAACGTACAAGACCACTACTTAAAAGATATAAGAATATTCGTGAAAGACGCACTAAGAAAAGGCTATACCTTCGACATGATCATGAATAACGGCATATTTCTTAACGACGAACGCAGGATGGTTTTGAAAGTATTTAAGGCTTTTGACGATAATTATAGACCAGTATATAAGAAGGTTAATGTGCATTATAAAAATCGACTGCTCGATCATCTGAATAACGAGGAACAAGTGAATTTTAAGCCGCCAGAGTGGGAAGAAAATAATGGTTTGTTTACACCCGAATTTATGAATGACAGAGTTGCTAAACAGCTCAAACAGGAGGAAGATACTTATATAACAGTAAGTACATACTAAGGGCTGGCAAAGGTTAGTTTTGGGTCCATATTTCCATATGTAAAAAGAGTATAATGCGTTTATAATGTACTGAACAAAGACAGAACAGTAAAAACGTTGCCAAACGTATGAAATAAACCGAGAAACTGTGCACATTGCTAAGAGACGTGGAAGGGCAGATATATATAGCAGATTCGTCGCTGTCGACCGGTCGACCCAGTCAGTACTTAAAATTCTAGGAAAGGGTGTACATCATGCGTTTAGCTTCACGATTTAATTACGTCTCGAGATAATTTATTTCTTTATTTATTAACGAGTCGTTGTAATTTCCCTATACCTTGTAAATTTTCAAGTGCAAGTCAGAAACACTTGCACTTTTGGTAAAAATAAGTGGAATTGAATTGGTGTTTGACAATGGTCGCGCTATTTGAACTCTGAATTCGAAATTCGATATGTCGAAATCCATCAGAAACATTGATTGTAGTTTTTCTCCAAAATAAAATTTTGTAAATATTTCTGCTATATTTTCTGCGCAGACAGTATGTGAAAATCTTTATAAATAAAAAAGTTACAAGATTGCTGAAAATTGCTATGCACTAAAAGTAACTGGATGAGCTTTTTTAAAATTTTGAAGTGAAAAAATAACAAGCCCATCGAATTTTTCTTATTTAACCATCTTGTAAATCCGAACTTCAAAATAAAAATAAGTTTCAGTATCTAAAGTGATCCTTGAGTTATCGCGAGTTATGTATGTGTAAAAAATTGAGTTTTTAAATTATCACGATTACTGATGTTTTCTCGTTATAAAAAATGGATACCTTAATGATATCCTTATAATTCCATTTCAGATGCTCAGAAACAGATCTAATGATTTTATCTAGTTGTCTTTTCTAAAAAAGTCTATAAAAATAAGCGGTTTGCGGTCGTGATTTTACTTGATAGGGAAAGGCGTATCGGAGAAATGTGGCAACGCCGCAACACCACCCCGTCGCATTTCTCTCACTCCAACTTAATAAGATCCCTATGCGATTTACTTCCACACATGTAAATACTGACCCAAAAGTAACAGTTGCCAGCATGGTATGTATATTTGTATGGTGATTTGAGTGTCGAGGTAAATAAATACTAGTCTAACCTCTAATATACGTTATTCCAGATTAAAAGTATAGAAAGTAAAAACGAACCAACGGCAGAAGTTTTACAGTATCGGAAAACGTTAGAAAATCACTTCAAAATGTGGAGAAGGGACGCGGAACAAGCTTTCCAGAGGGATTTGGCAACGTTGGCGGCTAAAAGGTCTGCGTTGAACCTGGAGCCTTACATAAGGAGCATTCCAAGCAAAGACTTCATAGATATAATAATAGAGGAGGGTAAAAGAATGGCTCAGGCTTCGGAAACGTACAGCCCAGAAACAAATGTGTTGTACAGAATGCTAGGCTGGAGGGTATATGGGCAATATTTAATGTTGTTGAAACAGAAAACTGGAGTTTTAGAAAAGGTAAATAGAAACTTATGAAATGTTTGGGTTTGTGTAAAAATGCTTGTTGATTGTATAAATTTATATGGATTAGAACTTATAGAAGATATAGATACTTTGTTTTTTCAATAAATACTTCTGGGTCTTTTAATTTTCTTTTGGGTAAAATTTACAAAATAAAATAGTTATTGTTTGTGTATGTTACGGTTAAGGTCCGATGTTCGGTTAATGTCGACATTACCCGGTTAATCTCGAGAATAACACACAACAAAACAACCAAAAACATAACCTAACCCAAACATTAACCTGTTAATGTCGACAATAACCGGACATCGGACTTTAACCGTAACATATACACTAACGGACAAAAAATGCTTATCGTTTCAGGAGGTAAAAAAAACACAAAAGAACAATAAAAAATTACGTAAAATGTCTAAACCCAACGATCTTTTTTTTAAATGCTTCTTTAATTTTTGATTTAGATGCTTAGGGGTTTTTCATCATAATTTTTGCATTGTTAACATCTACTCTCTGCCCTGTTTCCCATGAATGTTGACAAATCTTAGATTTGTTAAAATCGACCTATCAGTAACTACCCTTTTACAGGATAGTTCTGTTATGCTTTATAAAAATTGGTTACTGTCTGTTATACAGGGTGGTTCGAACTGGATTCCAGAAACTTTGGCAGCATAGTCTGGAGATAAAAAAAGTAAAAAACTTTGTATAAATGTATGTCAGTAAGATACAGGGTGTAGAAGTTTCATTTTTATTTCGACTTTTTCCAAATAATTTCTGAAGTAACGTCAGTATTTGATGAAAATTGGTATCTAGGAGTTTTTTGCCATGAGAAATTTGATTTTGATGTCAATATGACTCCTACTTATAGAGGGCACCACCTACATGTTTTTAACTGGTTTGAAGAGTAATAACTTTTCGTCCGTACCTGTATAAAACTACTGAGTAAAAAATATACATTTACGACGTTTTTTAAGTAAAAATGGTCTCTTGGTAAAAATCGCTACGACCACCCGTTCTCAAAATATTTCGAATGAAAATAGTCAGTACATGTCATTATTGACAAAAAATCAACATATATTGAGTAGTTAGTTATTTGATAGAAACTTTGAATAAAAAGACTAAGTAAGGAGCATAATGCTATCCATGTATTCATGCATGGTGGGCGGAAAAATGACTCTAGGGTGGAGATCCTTGACAGTTCTGTTTGACGATTCATTTGACACATTTGAATTTGATTTGAAATTTTGAGGATTTGTCAGTTTTTACGGAGCTTATTTTATGTTATTTATTATTTATTCTACTACTGATAGTTGTATAAAGGTAGTAAATCTAGATAGAAATTGTGGCAGAACTTAAATTAACAGTGACACTATCGCGATTTATCGAAAAAGACTAAAATAGTTGGTTGTGTAGCGTGCGGTTGATCTCGGCAAAAATCGAGTGAAATAATGGAACAACTTTTCGCTAGTAAGTGACTATATATTATACATACGTGTAGTAAAGTAGCGTTTGTGTTAATAAATAATTATTAAAACTTATCTATTTTTATTATAATAATATGTTTTTATAACAATTTTAATAACTACCAACATTTATTCACAACGTAAAATAAATAAAAAATTATTGAGTCTACCCAACGTCTACCCTACATCATAGTTTTACATTTTTTAAATAGAATTAGAATGGCATTGATAAACCGGAATTTAAGTCGGCCATATTTGAGTCCCATCGCGGTGGACCTAAGATTTTTGATAATCTCCTTCCTTAGTCTTCTTATTCAAAGGATAGAAATGATAAATTTGGGAACTTTTTATTTTTTAAATTAATCATGGACAGGTATGGGCAGGTAGTTTTATACAAGTAGCAGTCATATTGATATCAAAATCAAATTTCTCATGTCAAAAAACTCCCAGATTGCAAAAAATCGAAATAAAAATGAAACTTCTACACCCTGTATACATACTACACCCCCTATTACCCCCTTACTACCCCCCTTCTACACCCACTACTACCTGAAACTAAGCATTTTAGGACATACATTTATACGAAGTTTTTTACTTATTTTTATCTGCAGAATATGCTGCCAAAGTTTCCGGAATACAGTTCGGACCACCCTGTACATGGAACACACCCTAAACTATTAGTTCAACAATTTGTTGTATTTCCAGATATTACATATCCATTTAAAATATTGCGAGGCATACGCGGCAAAGCACGGTCAACTCGACACGCTACCAGAGAATGAACAGCTGGTCAATCCCCGAACGCAATGGCAGTCCATAGAACACGATAATCGCACCTTTGCTAACGGCTGTACGTTGGACATGGGCCACCAACCTTGGGCACCCACGTCCCTGACGGCCATCGGGAAATTCATGTACAATATTATTATGCACGATTTGAAGATTGACGTGAACTCACTTAGGCCCCAAAGCAAACACAAGTAAGTGAATTATCTAAATAGTATTTTGCTCTGTTTTAAGTAGGTTATTTAAGACATTTCTTGGTTCGTCTTTGGATTATACCATATTTGCAGCCAGTTGGTAGACTACAGATAGAAAAATGCAAACGGTTTATTAAGGGGAGTTCATTAATTACTTGATGGAATCAAGGGGTGAGGGGATCAAGCCGAATCTCATTAGTTTTGGCAAATATCACTTTTTTTTCGAAAATCAATCACTCGGAGGCGCTGGGCCCATTGTGATACCCCTGTATTATTGTACCAAACCTTCCTCTCATTCTTTCTTTGTGTTAAAGCGCTTCCAGCACTTTGCCAAGTTCTCGATGTCGCTGATGCACTTCTGATGCTTCCTCTAGTCCTTCCAAAAAACCTAAGTTTTCAAGAAGATAATTTTAATAATGTTTTTATTTCTGACGAAAGTTGTTTATAGCTCGGTGGAAGCCACCTAAAATCCTATCAAAAGAATATGTTACCGTTCAAGTTTCAAAATTTCCCACTAAAATAATGGTTTGGGGAGCAATATCTCAGCGTGGTGTTACACCTCTGTGTATAGTTGATGGAACTGTTAATAGTGCAAAATATTGTGATATTTTAAATGGTTTTCTTCTTGAAACGGCTCATGTTTTATATCCAGAGGGGTGGCGTTTTCAGCAGGAATGAATTTAATGCAAGATGCCATACGTCTGCCTATACTCAAGCTTGGATGCAAGAACACCATTTGGCAACAATTCCATAGCCAGCAGCTTCACCAGACCTTAGTCCCATTGAAAACATATGGGGACTAATGAAGATTGAAGTGGAACGAGCAGCTCCACGAAATAAACAAGATTTGATTCGCTCAGTTTTACAGGCCTGCCGCCACTGAACATTATGGTGTGGACCTAGTTTTGGATGTACCTGGTCATTTCTTTAAGGGTTTGGAGTTAAATGGAGGTTGTATAAGTAAATAAAATTAATAATTTGTTATAATTTCTTTTAGTCAAGTCCTAAAAATATATATCGATAATTGTAATTTTACTTTCTTTTTTCCGGATACTTTCTAGACGGACTATAGTATAAAAAAATGCGAGAGAATCAGATTAATTTAAAGTAAAACATGTTTCTAGACTAAAATATTTCGAAATCTGACATAATTATTCTATAAAAATCGACGGATAGATGTAAATCAGCGATTCCTTATTGGTTCAAAAATTAGCATTTTACAAGACCAGCAAGTTTAGAGTGACTAAATCAGAGCGAAGGTGAAGGAGCAGATGATTTTACTGAAAATCACATGGATTTGTTAGTACCAACAGTCACTCTTGAGACCATGCGCTAGTCTCCATGGATTGAATTCGAATGAATGTTCCCCATAAATTTTGCTTATCATATTTTACATTAAACACATTTTTTTTTATAATATCATATTTTAAAGAGTGAAAATTTTTGTTTTCTTTAAAAACAATTTAATTCTTTTACAGAAATCTCCTTCCTGCCTTTTATACTATATTCCGAAACCAGGGTCGTATGGTTAAAGAAGAAGTTAAGCCTCATCCAGTATTGTCAAAACTATATAAAGCTTCAGAACCAGAAACTTTAACATTTCCAGCTACCGAAATTCCAATGCTGTGTCCACCTGTTCCTTGGACCTCCATTAATCATGGTGGATATATCGTAGCACGTACTGATGTTATAAGGTATGATGGAAGTGTGATCTACATAACTTATAGTCTGTATAATGATTGTTCAATGATACTTCATCGTTATTTATCTTTGAATAAAGAGATTAAGGAAGGAGCATATCAAAAATCTTACATCGACCGCGACGGGACTCTAAAATGGCCCACTTAAATTCCGGTTTATCAGTGCCGTTCTAATTTTATTCAAAACGTGTAAAAATATGAACGTGGTGTAGATGTAGAAGTGGGGTAGACTCAGTAATTTGTTGTTTCATTTTACGCTGTGAATAAATATTGCTAGTTATTAAAATTGTTATAAAAATATATAATTCTAATAAAAATAGGTAAATTAACACAAACATCCGATACGCTACTGAAGCAGGTAAGTCAAATTGACGTATCTAAATTCTTTGACAAGTAGTAAATAAAAGCGAAAATGCCAGAAAAAATATATAATTAGTTAATTTTAAGTAAATTTTATAAATGATCGGTTTACTACACGTATGTATATTATCTTCTTCTTTCTCAGCCTGGTTCCATCCAGTGTTGGATATAGGCCTCTTCTAGGCTTTTCCATGCTTCGCGATCTCTAGCCAATCTTATCCATTGTCTTCCCGCCACTGCCCTGACGTCATCGACCCATCTCTTTGGTCGGCCCACACTTCTTGTTGTTCCCCTAGGTCTCCATAGGATTACTTTTTGGGGCCATCGGTCTGGATACTGTCTTGCCACATGTCCTATCCATTGCCACTTCAGACTTGCCACTCTTTTAACGACATCTATTAATTTTGTTTTTTGACGTATTCCGTATTTTTTCCCTAATGGTGACTCCCAACATGATTCTTTCCATGGCTCTTTGTGCTACTCGTAGTTGTTCTGTTGTTTTTCGGGTAATTGCCATAATCTCTAAGCCCTACGTAAGCCCAGGTAGAATGCAGCTGTCGTAAGCCTTTTTCTTTAGGTTCATGGGCACCTTTTTATCCTTGAAAATGTTGCTCATATTTCCAAATGCTACCCATGCCAAATGGATCCTGCTTTTGATCTCCGTATTTTGGTTTTCCTTGCCCAGCTTGATTTTATGATCTAAATATATATAATGGTCTACGTTTTCAATAATAACGTTGTCAACGGTAATGTTATGGATATTGTTGCTCATTATCTTGGTCTTCTTCAAGTTCATTTTAAGGCCAATTTTCTGGGATTGGTCATTTAGCTCATTTAGCATGGTGTTTAGTTCTTGAATGTCGGTGCTCAGCAAGACAATATCGTCTGCGAACCTCAGATGGCTAAGGTGTACCCCATCGATGTTTAGACCTCTATTTTCCTATTCTAATTTCTTGAAGACATTTTCCAGTGCCAGTGTAAATAACTTGGGAGAGATGGTATCTCCTTGTCTCAGGCCCTTGCCGAGTGGTATTTTTTCTGTTTTGAGGTCATCATCTTAGATGATTAGATGATGTATATTCTACAGGTTGTTAACTGGAAAGTTACTTATATGGGAACAGAATGGCAACACTGCCTATTGAGAACGCATGCACTTATAGGGTTTTCTACTGACTCGTCTCGTCGCGTCGCGTCACGTCGTCTATCGACGAGCGGGTCGAGGTTACCATATTTCAACCATAAAGCTCTTGCCGCGAGTAATAAACAAATTAACAACCTGTATAGTCATTTACTAGCGAAAAAATATTCCATTATTTCACTCTATTTTTGACCGAGATCTACCGCAAGCTACACAACCAACTATTTTACAGTCTTTTTTAATAAATCGCAATAGTGTCAGTGTTAATTTAAGTTCTGCCACAATTTCTTTTTAGATTTACTACCTTTATAATCCAATTTGTTTCAAATGGGAAGGGGGGTCAAGTGGTACCGCAATGAAAAGGGCTTTCTATTCGCTATACTTTCCCGCTTCGTTTTTGAAAATCGGTCGAATCATTGAGAAAATATGAAGGATTCAAATTTGAAAAGTTTATTTAAACATTTATCAGAGTAAATGATAAGGATAAATTCCTTCGACCAATTTGCTGTTTTTTCTTATTATTTCTAGATGTTTACGCATTTTTTCACTTGCCACACGGTTGAACGATGAGGTGCGGTAGTTGTTAGATAGCTGTTCTGTGACTTGTGCGTTGAAGTTCTTCTCAGTATCGTTAAACTTTTTAACAATTATGGTGTACTCACTTGCCGAAAAAGTGGAAATAATCGAACTTTATTTTAAAAATAATGAATGTATCGGGTTGCGTAGATGAACGCCATTCTGACAAACACCTTCATGGCAAAATTGTTCGCGAGTTAGTAGCAAAATTTCGCGAAACTGGTTCCGTTATGAGGCAGAGGGAAAATCTTGTAGTAAATGAAGCTATGGAGGTATTCGTATTGGGCCAAGTTGCCATGGATAGTACGCTGAGTACAAGAAAATTAGCCAATGAGACCGGCGTGAATCGTGTATATCGCGTACATATCGTGAAGTGTCCAAAGGATATTAAAAAAAACACCGTAAAAGTTCCACCCGTACAAAATTCAGTTGATACAAGAACTCAACGAAGACGATTTTGATCGTCGTTTGCAATTTTGTGAAACTATGAGTGAACGAGTGGCGAATAATAATTTCCTATTTAATATGTGTTTTTCGGATGAGTGTAATTTCTTTTTGAACGGTGTAGTTAATCGGCACAACTATCGGTACTGGGTTGAGCACAACCCCAGGGGTTTTTACGAGGTGCACACACAAAACCCTCAGAAATTGAACGTGTGGACTGGTATTTTTGAAAATTCTATTGTGGGTCAGTTTAACGATATTGAGAAGAACTTCAACGCACAAGTCACAGAGCAGCTATCTAGCAACTACCGCACCTGATCGTTCAACCTTGTGGCAAGTGAAAAAATGCGTAAACATCTAGAAATAATAAGAAAAAACAGCAAATTGGTCCAAGGAATTTATCCTTATCATTTACTCTGATAAATGTTTAAATAAATTTTTCAAATTTCAATTCTTCATATTTTCTCAATGACTCGACCGATTTTCAAAAACGAAGCGGGAAAATATAGAGAATAGAAAGCTCTTTTCATTGCGGCGCCACTTGACCCCCTTCCTATTTGAAAAAAGTTGGGTGATGACACCCCCGCTTAGAGGGTTGAAGATTTTGCAATCATTTTTGGGGCAAAAGTTGTCCCCCTCACAAACAAAATCGATGTGTTTTTGGATTTTTTGAAAACGTTTTTGAATATAGTCTATAAAATGAATAACTTTGAATGTTGACCGTTATTTTTTACCAACATGGCAAATATAAAATCCCTCTGTCAAAAAAGTTACTTATATTTTTTAAATTAAGTGCCTGAACGAATCAGATAGGTAACTCTTTTTACTTTCGTGAAATAAAAAAGGAAAATAATAAAATAAGTGACAGTTCTTTCTCTTCTTCTTCTTGCAAAAATCAACACAAAATGTCATAATTGTCAAAAGTAAAATATCATCAGCTTTTGAAATTTCTAAATATCAGACCAATGCCGTCTCTAATAGAACAGCCTCGGAGCGAGGTTTATGACGTCACGCTAGTTAGATACTACGGATTAAATATGTGGTCATCTTTTGACAAGTTTATATTAGTTTATTAATTGCGGTAAACATTATGTGGTGTGAATATTTTATATGTAATTTTTTGGATTATATTCGACACTATTTTTTTCATAGGACACAACACTGATGAAGGCTAGAATGTTAGCGGAAACGTTTCTTTAAACCAAATAAAAATAATGAAAAACCAAATAAAAACCTAATCAGCCTTTTTCCCGAACCTAATTCCTAAGAAAATTAAAAATTTTAGAATAATTTTACATATAAAATGACAGCGATCTTTATTTTATAGCCATCGCTGACGCCTTCTTTTCTATGATATTGTATTATTTGCAAATATAATTTTTCGAACATTGATACTTGAAAAATATACATATAAATTTTGTGAATGCAAATAATAATACATCACTATTAGTATATATTGAATGTTTTTTGTTAAATTAGATCGATTTTCAAACCCCAATTTTAAAATATATTTTACATTTTACCCATTATCTTATGTACCTATTCATTATTTGTATATTGTAAAATATTTGCTGCAGTTGTATGGTTCATAGTTTATTTGCCTAAGTATTTATTATGTAAACTATATCATTTTTAAAATACAAACCAAAAATACGAGGAATAATTATGTTTTCCATGTATTCTACTCTACAACATATTTACTGTAGTATCTAAATAGCGTGACGTCATAAATCTCGAACCGACCCTGTTCTATTAGAGACGGCATTGCGTCAGCATGACCGCAAGTTGCTAACCTAATAAAATTGACACTAGAAAAGCCCGCGGGAACTGTCAAATTCAAAGTTATTCGTTTTACAGACTATACCTTGCGGAACGTTGGTTGGCCGAGTAGTAAAAAATTAATAATGACTGAAAATTAATTATGAAAATGAAAACATAAAAATGGCAATTGGTATTGTATTGTGAATTGTCAATATCATATATCTTTAAGCAATTACAAGTGTTTTGTATTATCCTATATACAGAGGCATGAGAATGCAATAAATTTGAAATACTACGAAATTTTATAATTAATGAAAGTTTTTAAATCCAACCAATAAAATTAATATTGTAGCATTGTATCGTCGGATATGAAAAAAAAATAACGCGAAGGAAAGAGTACGACAATATGTGAGGTAACGTTGAACGATGATTATACAGACAAGTTTTTTTTAACAAGATAAGTACAACTGATGATTATTATGAAATTTCTTTCTCTAGGTTGCCATCACAAGCCTCAAGCCAGAAAAAGAGACTGGCGGAGTCCGATCCAGTACAGTTGTATCCCAGTTTGGATGCTTTAAATCAACTTGCATCAGTTCCTTGGAAGGTTAATACCAAAGTCCTAGACGTAATATTAAAAGTAGGTTTTTTATATATCTTTTATTTTTCTACAAGGCTATTTTGAAAAGTTTTCGACCTTATATTGATACAAAATAAATTTTATTTACAACCACATATGTAATACTGACATTACTCACTTTTAAAAAATTTGAAAGTGTCAAATTATTTACAATTCTTCCCTCTTCCATTTTCCTCACCCATTTCCTTCACTCGGTTTTTCTTATTTCTCGCCTCATTTAATTAAGCAAAATATTCTTGTAATATCTTTATTAATTACTTATCTGATCAACAAAAATAAACAAGAAGATTAACAATAATAATTGAAGATTTTAATACATTTATTTGTTGAAGGCACAAATGCTAGACTTCTTTGGCTTAAAACCTACATTCTGGCGTTTTAAAAAAACGACGATGTCAGTCTTTTCCCTTAATTCTAGCATTGTCCGTATCATGCTGTACATAGCCCAAATAGTAGATGGCTTTTTCTGCCTTGCCATGTCGCTAAAATATGCCATCAAGACTGTCTCCGAAGCAATATTCATAGCATTTCTTTCGGCACACCATTTTTCGTATACTTTCAATGCTATTTCATATCCCCCTTACTTTTCTCTGGAAGTAAACTGGCTTCTGCTCTTTTTGCACCTTCTGTAAGTTCTGGTGGAGTACCAATATTAAAGTAGTCTTCATTATCAGAACTTTCCGACAACATTCTGGCTTTCTATGTTATATAAATTCGAAAAAGCGAACTGGAAATTCAAAACTGTCACTTAGTTGTTTGTTTTGCTGTTGAAGGGTTGAAGGTTTGCGCCATAACAACCACTGGTACCGGTAACTATAGATATGGAAATGCCAAAACAGAAAACGACAAATTTTTGTATATTTATTTTTTTTTCAAAATAAAATACTGTCCGTATTTTTTAATTAATGATGTGGTTGTAAATAAAATAGTATACAAACCTCGGAGGAAAGTTTTCGTTATTGTCTCGAGATTTAGTTAATCTCTCGACAGTAATGAAACACTTTCCCCTCCTCGGTATGTAATATACTATTTCTCAAAATCTTCTTTAGAAGCCAGTTTAATTGAACAGATCAATAATAATTAGTGCTTATTTTGCTACAGTATTAAAAATTATCACTTGTTTTAGGTTTTTAGAGATGGAGGTTCGGCAAAACTGGACGTACCAGAAGCACCTTCGAAACTACCTCAGCCACCTCCGGTACGACCTGATATGACGAAACCTGAAAAATACCAGAATATTAAACTCAAGATGCAGTACAAGAGGAAAAAAGCCGAAATGTACTCTTTGTGGTGCGACTGTCTTTATAGGTTATCTTTGGCGAATCATGTAAGTATAGTTCATACCAATTAAACTTTTAGTCACGTGATTAAGCTTGACTGGTACAGCGTTGTCGACTGTCGACATAATTTCTTTTAATCAAAATATTTTAGGAAACAAAAATAAATTAATTATAAATATATATAAACAGTTATTATTTACATCAACAAAATTCACTTTCTTAACAACACTTAAGGAACATAAAGTGCCATTTCTACCGCTTTTCCGTTCAAAATACTCTACTAAGGTTGTGATGAGTTTTTTACGGCTATTAAGCTAACTTGTACACTTCGCACTAAAAGAGGTTCTAAAAAGAACAACGTTTGACTGCAAGATATGCTGCAAAAAAAATTAAACTTAAAGTATCACAACAATTCATTTAAATCAAAAACTCAAGGTGTCAAAACGAATGATAGTGTCAGGAAATATTTCTAATAAATAAATTGTACTTAACAACACCTCCATTGGCGTCGTAAAATCTGTAAAATTCTTAGGGCTTGTTGTAGACAATTTTCTGAAATGGGACATACATATCGGAGCTTTGTCGAAAAAATTGAGCTCTGCCTGTTTTGCATTAAGATCTGTTTCTAAGGAGCTTAACTTGTCAGTGGCTAGAACTGTTTATTATGCTCTTTTTGAGTCGCACCTCAGGTATGCTCTTCCATTCTGGGGTACGTGTTGTGCGACTCTGAATTTGACCGCATTTTCAAGCTCCAGAAGAGAGCTGTTCAATATTCACTGGGACTAAACAGCAGAACTCATTGTTGACGGGCTGTTTTAAAATATTAAAAATATTGACTTTTCCTTCCTTATTTATATTTGAATCCGTTTGCCTAATACGTAAGCATGTATCAGCTTCTCAAGAAAGGCCATCTCACACTTATCCACACAGGAACGCGGAGCAAGATCTTTATCTACCTACCCCACGCTCAGAGTTAGTTAAAAGTTCAATATTATACAACTCGAAAAAAATGCACAATCACCTGCCATTTGAAATCAAATCCATAACATCATTTTCTTCATTTCGCAAAACATTGAACTCTTATTTACTAGACAAGGCTTTCTACGCTGTAAATGAATTATATTTTGAAAATCGAATTTGATCTTGTAAACACTGGTCTAATGTTTGCTATTGCTATATTTACTAACGACATCGAAATAAATTTATTTAGAGGTCATTGATATTTACTATAAACTAGCTAAATATTCTTGAATGTTGTTTTTATTTTTTTGTTCTTTGACATTGTAAACATTTATAAATGTTTATTTTAAACAATAAGATTGACAATATTATTTGTATAATGTTTTGTATTATCTTTTGTTTGTTTGTTTGTGTACCTTGTTTGTTTACTTTGTTTGTTTAGTTTACCTTTGTCTACAAATTGAAAAATTTTTTAAAATAAATAATAATAAATAAATAATGTGGCAACTTGACATTTTTTACAGCAGAGCTACCACCTGAACCCCCAGCGCGAAATTTAAATTCCAGTTAGTCAGTTCCAGTTTAATTGGTATCGCTTATACTTTATTAATACTGTTTTACTTTAACTGACGTGGTATTATGAAAATCTTTAAAAATTGGGGAATAATTTCCTTTCCTGGTAACATCCCTTTTGCGACAATGTTAATAAAATAATAAAAATGTATTAAATTATCTTGAGTAATTTTTAATAGTGGCATATTCTTTCTCAGTTCAAGGATGACATATTTTGGTTACCACACAACATGGACTTCAGGGGTCGCGTCTATCCCGTACCACCACATTTGAACCACTTGGGTTCCGATTTGGCTAGGTCCATGCTGGTTTTCGCAGAAAGTAGACCTTTGGGACCCGAGGGTTTGGATTGGTTGAAAATACACCTTGTCAATTTGACAGGATTGAAGAAAAGGGAGTCTGTAAGAGATAGGTAATACATAATAATATTTTAATACTGTTTTTCTTTTTTTTGTGTGTTTCGTCAGTTCTACTCGTTTATTATTTATTCTGAATTCTAGTGTATAAATAATTGCTTTTTAATATTCTAGGTTGGCATATGCCAATGATGTAATGCCCTTGATTCTCGATTCTGCCGATCATCCCCTAGACGGTAGGAAGTGGTGGGCTGAATCTGACGAGCCTTGGCAGACTTTGGCGTGTTGTATGGAAATAGCTGACGTAGTCAGGTCTGGAGTCGATCCGGCGGAGTATAGATCTCATTTCCCTGTGCACCAAGTAAGTTAGAAGGCCCCATAACTGTTGAATAATATTTATTTTACTTGTTATTTTTAAAATATGTACATAGTATCTGAAATTTACATGGGAAAATTATATGGCTCAATTTTATTGAAAGGCTGCACCTTTTAAACCTATAATGCAAATATTATAAAATAACAAGAACGGTAATATCATGTACTAGGAAAATATCCATAATTTTTATTCAACACTAATCATAAGGTACCCAGGTATTAACCTTCAGACAAAGTCTATATTTATTACTGATGACTGATTACTTATTACTTATTACTCATTACTCATTACTCATTACTCATTACTCATTACTCATTACTCATTACTTATTACTTATTACTTATTACCCATTACCCATTACCCATTACCCAATACCCATTACTTTGTACTTAGTACGTATTACTTATGTCAAAAGTTGACATATGATATATCATTCTACTCAGAATGTCATTTTCTATCGAATAAAGTAAAAAAATACCGAGGGTGCCATTTAAAAATCAAAAGTTGTAGTCATTTCCGGTGAAACAGGAAGTGACCAAAAACAATTGAATACGTCAATCAATCCTAATTTATGTCATATACTAACATACCAAATTCGTTTTTTATCTGAAAAAATAAAAAAGTTATAGGGGGTGAGCCACTTTTGAGAGGCACCCGGTGTACTCAGGCCTACAGTCCCTTGAAGCTGTAAAAAAATCAAACTTCTAAGTTAAAGTAAAAAAAGATAGTACATTTACCTCTATGTATTGTATTTCTTCTGACAGGATGGAAGCTGTAACGGACTACAACATTACGCAGCCCTAGGTAGAGACACAGCTGGTGCATTCAGCGTCAACTTAAGCCCCTGTGACGTTCCTCAAGATGTCTATAGCGCGGTAGTGGCCTTGGTCGAAGAACAAAGAGCCAAAGACGAACTAGATGGAATTCCGGTAATTAAATCTGAATAAAAATATCTAAAATAGTTCTGAATTTTCCTTTATTCTTTAGATTGCGAAAACATTGAACGGTTTTATTAAAAGGAAGGTGATTAAGCAAACTATAATGACCACAGTGTACGGAGTGACTAGGTATGGAGCCCGTCTACAGATTGCTAAACAACTGAAAGACATTGATGACTTTCCCAAGGAGGCTGTGTTTGCCGCATCATCTTATTTGACAGGTTAGTTTTTACATGTTTCATTCTACATGTTATCTGGATTAAAATATGTTTTATATTTTATTTATCTTATTTTTTTTAATTTATTTTAAGGAATACATAGTTTTATTTTTTTTTCAGGACGAACATTTGATTCCCTAAGGACTATGTTTACTTCGACTAGAGAGATTCAGGACTGGTTTACCGAATGTGCCAAATTGGTTTCTGGAGTAGTAGGGAAGCATGTGGAATGGGTGACGCCCTTAGGACTGCCCATTGTTCAACCATATATCCATTTAAAGTATATCCCTTCGTCTGGGTATGACACTTTTCACATGGACCAATTTGAGTAAGTATTTTTGATAAAATTTATCTATATTTAAATTATATTTATATTATCAAAATAACATTGATTTGTAAATAATGTCCATGTCTTTGCGACGGGTTTATTTTTTGAAGACTTAAATGAAAAAATCGTCGTCAGAAGCTAAAAAACAACAGAATCGAAGAAAAACTATTTAAGATATTTAAACACAGATATTCAAGATCACTAGTTTTTTTGACAGATACGTCTATTATACTATTGTTATTAAACTGTTGATGTTCTGTTAAAATTACATTTTGTTTCTATATGTTGCGTCAAAACAAGTCAGTGTACCTATATGGTCCATAAGGCACGAGGGTCACAAGAGTAACGAAAAGGTATTCGTAGGCCCAGAACCCTTATGCGGCGTTGCAAAGCGGTCTCGTGCCTGCTTTTGCAATTCCATTCACGAAAATAGCCACGGAACGATGGGTGGCTAATAAATCTCTAGAATGGTGGAGAAACTTACCGGGGCAGAGACAGGCGAAAAAGTTCATAAAAGAACATTCGCCAAAATTCACGGTAGACCAAGGTTATACATGCCTATGTAAAAATCTTTCTTTTCCGATTTTTTTTTCGTACATATCGGGTGTTGCATACAGTGCATACGTTGTGACAGTAAACCGGAAAATTGGAAACAGTTGTGGCGCGGTTCTACCCAGGCAGAAAGCATGGCCTTCTAGACTGTCCTAGACAAAAATCTGAATATTTCTATATGATTTCTGTCAATTTCTGCTACGGAACATTTTTATGCACGTCGGCGTCCTGTTCTTTTGTCTTTTGTCTGTGTGTCAGCGTCAGCTCCCGAGGCCTCTGGCAAGGTCGGGCGCCATTTTAATTTTTGCCGTTTAGATTTGATTGGAAGTTTGTTTCTGATATTTCGGCTGAAATTTATAAGTACAAAGATGTTTTTTGATATAAAGTTCCTTGTTAACACTTTAATAAAGTATATATGATATTAATTACATGAAGAAAATGATGAAATCGACGTTTCGGCGTGTAGCAGGTATGGGCCATATTATAGGTAAAAATAGGTAATATATTAACTGTTTTTATATTTTTTTAGCTTTAAACCCAAGGATCTTGGGATATTCTTTCAAGGATTTTTCCGTATCTCTACTTTAAAGACTGATCGGTGATTTTGAGCAATTGAAAGCAAGTTATACAAGGTAAATTATGATTATTGAACTATTATTAGCCTACGTTAAATTTCTACAAGATGAACAGAAATGCGTAATTACATATCACATAGGTACCTATTATGTATTTTCATAGCAATAATGCTATAAATCTATGTATGTAGATTATTTTTAAAATACAAATGAGGTATTAGATGTATATGTATCATATTTTTTATTCATTTTATTTTCATTCAAGTCCTGTTTGATTTAATTCACAAAAGTCTTATGTAGGTACCTATATTTATATTTTTTACATATTTTTTTTGATTCCAGGTTTTGTGTGGGTTCCGGTTGCCTTTTTCCTGCTTCCAGTTATTTATCCGTGAAGCTGTGAAAACATTTATTTATCTTCAAGTTTCTGTAAGTCAATGCACTGTTACTTTACTAATTCGCTTTAACACAGCATCTCTGATATTATTTAAATATTTAATATTGATACAGTAGTTTATTGGTTTATAGCTCTTTAATTGTGTTGATTTGCATATTTACATTGTTCTAAATTCCAAATAAATATTTTTGAGTAATTTTGTTGTATTATTTACTACTAGAAAGAGTAAAAAGTATATTAACCCTCATTTAAACCTCCTGAACAGCCCGCCATTAAAAACCGGAAATGGAAATAAATTTCATAAAATTGAATTTGTCATGTCTATGTCATGTCAAATGTCCCAGCCGCCATATCTGAAAATTAGTTACCCAGGCAGCCACGCTGTTTCCATAATTTAACATTGACTTGACACTTCTTCTTGAATTTATTATTTTATGGTTGCATCGTCGTTGGGAACATAGGAAATCCCATGCAAAATTTGAACTGTCCAGATATTGGCTCCCCTATGGATTTTATAGCGAAGTCGTAAATAGACTTTTTAAAGGTCATTTGATAAACATACATGCCAAATTTGAACAATTTTGGACAAGTCGATTTTAGGTAATTTGAGAAAAACCTAATCGATTTTTATATTAAAACCGAACAGGTAACAATCAAACACCAGTCAAAAACTGACATACCTTAGGTTAACAAACTATGATTTTGTCATTGTCAAAAGTAATTTTAATACAATTTTAATATTTAGGGAAAATTAACTGAAACGTGTCAGATACACTGTCTAATCCAAGTCTAATCTATTTCCCGCGTATTTTATCATGTTCACTTTTTCTTTATGTGTATAACAATAAATTATTACTAGTACTGAATATTAAAATTTTACTAAAATTAAGTTACGTTTGAAAATGACGCTCACAACTTAAGGAATGTTGGTTTTTGACTGGTGTTTTATTGTTACCTATTCAGTTTTAATTTAAAAATCGATTAAGTTGTTCTCAAATTACCTAAAATCGTTTGTCCAAAATTGTTCAAATTTGGCATGTGTGTTTACGAAATGTAGACCTTTAAAAAGTCTATTTACGACTTCGCTATAAAATCCTAGGGGAGCCAATATCTGGACAGTTCAAAATTTTCATGGGATTTCTATGTTCCCAACGACGATTCAACACCCGGTATAGGAATATATTTTTAATAATTTTGTTTTGTGCTGGTTTTGCTTAGGTTAGGTTAGGATTAGATTATTATACTTCTTTTTTTTTTTTTTTTTTTAAGATAGTAGTCTAAGATAGTAGTCTAAGAGCTAGCAACGTTTTCGAGAAAGTATTTTAAGACGTCTGGCTCTTTGATATATCTTTTACTATGCTCTCTGGAACAGCATGCGGCCCGTCTGGCTGCCGATACCCGTTGCGTTCACTACTGCGCATCGAAAGATGATTCAGAGTTCGAATCCGGGTAAGGTTAAAAACTTTTTTATTTTATTTTGTTATACAGGGTGTTTCAAAACAAATGCGAAAAACTTCAGGGGGCGATTCCTTGTTCAAAATAAAGGGTAGTTTGCTTCATAAACGTTGGGTCAAAAGTCAACCATTAGGGAGATATCGCGGTACAAAGATGGCGGAAAAATAATGTTTTTATTTTTTATCTTGAAAACGAAAAGAGATAGTCTAATGAAATTTTATGGGAGCATTACTGCTACGAAAACACACTTTCTGGTAATTTTTTCACTTTTTTAAAATGAGTGGAAGGGGTTGAAATAAACTACCCTTATCATTCTTGTTAACGAAATTTAAAGAAAAATCTTATCAAACACATGCAAAAAAAATTGATTTGGATAGCTTGGTTTATTTAGAAACTTTTTTATCTCTTGTGTTTCTTTGATAAAACTCGCCGATTTGAAATTAAAAAATAACATGTAAAGCATTACATATCAGGATCAAAAACATTTTTAGATAAAGAATCTAGTGATAATAACGATAATAATAAGAATCTAGATAATAACGTATTGCAGTAGAGTAATGTCAATAAAATAATATTAGAAACATCCTAAAAAGTGACAGCGGCCGACTAGATTTTTTCCTAAAAAAATTAGAGCAGCCCACTAGATTCTTTATCTAAAAATGTTTTTTGTCCTGATATGTAATGCTTTACATTTTATTTTTTAATTTCAAATCGGTGAGTTTTATCAAAAAAACACAAGAGATAAAAAAGTTTCTAAACAAACTAAACTATCCAAATTAATTTTTTTGCATGTGTTTGATAAGCATTTTTTTTTAATTTCGTTAACAAGAATGATAGGGGTAGTTTATTTCAACACCTTCCACTCATTTTAAAAAAGTGAGAAAATTACCAGAAAGTATGTTTTCATAACAGTAATGCTTCCATAAAATTTCATTAGTCTATCGTTTTTCGTTTCAAGATAAAGAATAAAAACATTATTTTTCTGCCATCTTTGTACCGCGATATCTCCCTAATGGTTGACTTTTGACCCAACGTTTATAAAGCAAACTACCCTTTATTTTGAACAAGGAATCACCCCCTGAAGTTTTTCCATTTGTTTTGAAACACCCTGTATATGTTTGTATTCTGATACTAAAATATTAAATAATTATGATAATTAAAAAAAACAAATATTTAATACTTTACTATCAGAATATAAACGAAAATAAAATAAAAAAATCTATGCCCTGACCGGGATTCGAACTCTGAATAATCGGTTCGTGGTCGGAAACACGCACTGCGCTATGGCGGCATGTTCGATTTATATTCAATACTAGAATTTAAAGGACTAATAAAATATAGGATCTTCTTTCAATGCGCAGTAGGGAACCCAACGTTTATCCCAACGTGCAGTAGGGAACCCAACGGCAGCCAGATGGACCGCATGCTGTTCTAGAGAGCATAGTAAAAGATATATCAAAGAGCCAGACGTCTTAAAATACGTGTTTTTCCGACGTTGCTAGCTCTCGTACTATAGTGACAAGAAACTATTTAATTTCAGGAAACCGAACGTAGTCAAACAGAAAAATGCATTTCCACCGAATTTTATTCACTCTTTGGATTCTAGTCACATGATGTTAACTTCTCTGCACTGCGAAAGGGCGGGAGTTACTTTTGTTTCTGTACACGACTGCTATTGGACGCACCCATCCACCATTCACATAATGAATAAAGTAAGTTTTAGGATTCTCTAAGATATACATATATATAGGGTGGCGCCTCTCATACACCGCGGAGGCTCCAACGAGAACGACAGTTTGTATTGAGATGAAGATTTGTGAGAAGAATTGTAAAGAACAATTTTTAAATTACAATAAAAACTATCTAAATTGGAATTTACCCGGGATAGCCTAGTATGTAGTTAAATTAACTATTGTACTTTAAATCAAATTAAAACTTGATCTAAAAAGTAATACATTGGAGACAAAATTAATATTGAACATTGGTCACCTTTAAAAGCATGTTACTCTTTTATTTTAAATGGAACACCCAGTATATTATTCCGATATTCAATGGATAATTCATGTCTCTTCAAAATACTATGGTTGCCTACCCCTCAAACAAAGATTTTCCTAGATATTTTCATTTACAAATTTACATGATTTGATCTGAGTAGATCTGTATTATTTCAGAAAATCTAGGTGGCTGTGATACGTCTGACGTTACTTCAACATATATAGCTGTCTAATTATTACAGTCCAACTTTAACAATTAGCTTTAACTACTAACTATCATGCATTTTGTGTCATTTAAAACAAAAAAAAAATTCAGAAATTTGCCGAAAATGCAAACTTATCCTACATCAGAAAGAATTGATATATCATTCTATTAGTTGGTGAATGCAGTGTGCATTCACCAATTGATAGAATACTTAAATGCTCCTGATATTATCTAGTCTGGATTTTTTATGGGGATATGTTAAAGACAGTTTTACAAAAAGAGGATATGTTAAAGACAGTTTACAAAACTCGACCAACTATTGGCGACAACATGAGAGAAATTATTGTAGCTGCTTTTCGAGGTAGAACTCCACATATGCCTTTTAAAATGAAAAAATCCTTTTGAAAAGACAATCATTTTATGCAGTTAACAGGATAGGAAGCATTTTGAGCATTTGATTTCATCTAGCTAATTTTTGTCACATAATTATATGTTTATATCTAGATTTAATTCTGTAATAATTTTTTTACTCTACAATCTTTAATTTTTGTTAAATTAACAAAAGATATATCACACAGCTATCTAGATTTTTCAAATAATAAAGATCTTCTGACGCGAAATCATAAAAATTAAAATATCTAGGAAAATCTTTGCCTGAGGGGTAGGCAACCTAAATAATATTGTGAAGATAAATAATAAATAAATAAATTGGAATTCCGCGGCGTATAAGAGGCGCCACCCTGCACATTATTAAAAATATGTTTGAATCTGCGGCAATGGATATAATTATTTTGTATAAGTCCAGGGGGTAACTGTACCTTTTGTTTCTAGATATGTCGAGAACAGTTTGTGGCTTTGCATTCTGAACCAATTTTAGAAGACTTATCTATTTCTATGTATAATAACTACAGTTTTGAGGAAAGGTAAGATATCACAATTTAAGTACCTTAATTATAGCGTATAATCGAAGAAAAAACTGCGTCAAATACGGCTGGGGAATGACAATCGATGATAATTTTGGCGAGGTCAATATCTAGACGTCATTTGACTGACATAAAACTTCAAAAAAATTAATACTAATTATAGAGAGATTAAAAAAGGATAGAACGTTTCCAGACACAGAAATCTATTTCCTTAAAAAATATATTTTCTCGAATTTTAAACTACACCGTACTACACAGTATAAGTGCCGTTAAAAAATAAAGAAGAGTACAGGCCAAATAAATTACGTCTAGAAGATCGACCTCGCCAAATTTATCATCGATTGTCATTCTCTTTGGCGCCGTTTTTTTTCGATCATACGATATTTCAGTCATTGTGGATCGCTCTGTACAATTACAGTACGTGTAAAAAAACAAAAAAAAATGTGAAATTGTTTTGAAAATGCTAAATTTTTTTCTACTTCTAGCGAACTATCTGATGAAAGTTCCTTGGCCGATTATCAAAAGAAAAAACTCAACAAACTACTGAGAACCTTGCCTGCGACTGGAGATTTTGATATAAACAATGTTTTAGATTCTGTGTACTTTTTCAGTTAATGTACAAAGCACTATAAATAGATTGTTTAACTCTTAGATTTTATAAATTTTAATTCGACCTAATAAAACTTTGTTTATTGTTTTTTAACTTTGTTTTATTTTGGAACATTCGTTTCTTGTTAAGTAGTGCCTGTTTCGATAAGAATATTGTTGAAGTTTAGGTTGTGACGACTTACTTTTATTTAATCATCGTGTTACACTATGATGTGAACATTTACTTGAGAAGTTAACTGCAGCCAACTATATTTAATAGAACCTTATAAAAGAATATAAATAAAACAACAAAGTATCAATATAATTTTGTAATTAACATCGTATTATATATACACAAAAAATTAAGGCACATTATAAAAATAGAATACACTGGCCTAGAACTAGGATTTAAATACCATTTAGATATGTTGTGAACGAAATGTAGTTTCACACCATTTTACATTACCCAATTATCATTTCTTTGCAAATTCGAAATAAACATACTTTATTTCATAATTTGCAAATGTATGATACTCGTTTTATACATTAACATACGATACAGCTAAAATACTAGTATTGAGCATTTGATACTCACGCACGCTTGTCCTCAATAAAATTTATAGGATATTGTAAGCGAAATTAACAAAATAAAAATATCACATTATCAAGTGACTAAAATATTTTACAGTTGGGATCTCTCTAGTTTTATTTGAATGATATACAGTGAGATCGAACGAAAACGACGTCACACTATTAAAAATTTGATAGAAAGTCAAAATATAAAGTATTTAAGTAACTAGTTTTCATATTGGCTTTTGATGTTTATAAAGTACTATAAGTAATTCACGATGAGGTCTCATCGACACTGTCAAAATCGAATGAAAATTGTTACTATGCTTACTGTGACGACATTTTCATTCATCCACACGGTACTTATTTGTTGTACCGATAACAAAATATATTAAAGGCTGGCAAAGGTTAGTTTTGGATCGAGACTTTCGTGTGTCAGAAGAGTACAATGTGTTTATAATGTACTGAACAAAGAGAGAACAGTAAAAACGTTGCCAAACGTATGAAATAAACCGAGAAACTGTGCACATTGCTAAGAGACGTGGAAGGGATATAGCTGATTCTTCGCGGTCGACAGGTTGACCCAATCAGTACTTAAAATTTTGGATAAGGGTGTCATCATGCATTCATCTTCACGATTTAATTACGTCTCGTGATACTTTATTTGTTTGTTTATTAACGAGTTGTTGTAATTTTCCCTATAGCTTGTAAATTTTTAAGTGCAAGTTAGAAACACTTGCATTTTTGGTAAAAATAAGCGGAATTGGGTTGGTGTTCGACAGTGGTTGCGCTATTAGAACTCTGAATTCAAAAGTCGATATCTCGAAAACCATTAGAAATTATCGATTGTGTTTTTTTCAAACACTTTCATAATATTTCTGCTATATTTTCTTCGCAGACAGTATGTGAAAATCTTTATAAATAAAAAAGTTACACGATTGCTGAAAATTGCTATGCACTAAAAGTAAATGGATGTGGTTTTTAAAATTTTTGAATGAAAAAAACAGCTTATCGATTTTTTCTTATTTAAACATCTTGTAAAAGATTCGAACTTCAAAATAATAAAAAAAAGTTTCAATATCTAAAGTGGTTCTTGAGATTATTACGATTACTGACGTTTTCTTGTTATAAAAAATGGATACCCTAACGATATCCTTATAATTCCATTTCAGATGCTCAGAAACACATTTAACGATTTCTATCTATTTATCTTTTCGAAAAAAAAGTTTTTTAAAAATATGCGGTTTGCGATCGTGATTTTACTTTACTTTTTACTCGATAGGGAAAGGCGTACCGGAGAAATGTGACAACGCCGCAACGGCACACCGTTGCATTTCTCTCACTCCAATTTAATAAGATCCCTATGCGATTTACTTCTACACACGGAAATATCGACCCAAAAGTAAAAGTTACCAGCACAGTAGAAACAAAACTAGAGTTATCCCATTGAACTTGTATAAATTGATTTTGTAAAAATACTAGCCTAAGAAACTGAAAATAAAAGCACCAATATCCCAAAAATTATGGTTAAAAATTAGTAAATATTTAAAGTAGACTGTTTTTACGTTGTTTTCTATTTTTTAAATAAAAAATGATGTAGCGTATCTTTTATTAGGTGTTCACCATGTTCGACAAAGCAATAAAAATAAATATTACAAAATCATTATTAAATGATAAATTGCTTTATAAACTGATATATTTTTGCAATTTTTTTTTCAGAAAATCACAATTTATTAAAAAAAACTGATTTTTTTGCCAAAATAACAGAAACTGTTATAAAGAGAGGGGGATTGCGAATGCATAGGTTCTTTCTATGATATTTTTAAAGATGAAAATATTCTTATAGTGTGTTGAATCCAAAATTAAAAATGATTATTACACATTTTCAGGAATGTATTTCTTTGTAATCTATTCTTCGGTAAATGTTGATATAATCTGCTTATTTATAATATACACTTAATTCCATTGCTTTCTACTTATTCTCCAATAACAGTGATATTAATGACATGGTGTAACATATTAATAAAACATACGCTATACTTACAAATTTTTATAAAATACATATTTGCAAGACATAAAATTACATACTAGCCCTACCATACATCTAAAAAATATATGCACAGGATCGATATATTTACATGTAAAAATCTAAGAACTTTTAACACATACCCACAGCAATCGATAGCGAATCTCAAAAATGAACAATATAGTCGGGTTTCAGCTTTTGGTGTGTAACCTTGAAAGAATTTTGAATATTTATAACAGTTAATGGTTTTTATAAGACTTCAATAAGTTTCTAACACGTCAAAGTTAGTTTAGGGCAACCCCTAAAAATAATTATATCAATTTTGTTATAAATTGGGGCCTCACGTTGGGCGCCAATTTATAACGAGGCCTGTGTATTTTTAACGTAACTGTCTATTTATCTTCAAAAATAATCGAACTCAAGATTCAAAGATAATCGGACTCGTTCAAAGAGAGGCGTCACATAAGTCTTCTGTGTTACAGTTGTTCAGTTTATTAGGTATATAGTTTAGCCAAACTAGGATCTCTGACCCAATAATTAATCTTTGCTTCTAACCAGTTGCTTGAAAATTTCAATTTAAGTTCAAGGTTCCATTCGAAAGGCTGGAATCCGACAATATTTTATTATTTATACATTTTTCTCTGCTCAACTATAACTCACTAATATCTCTACTTAATATACAATAAATTATGTATAAAAATGCATTTTAAAACAAATTAAGTACTTATTTTTATAATGGAATGTATGTATATCGCATTGAGCAGTATTGTTAGGGTAAAAGATATTATTTAATAGATATGTCTTGTTAAATTTTAGAAGGAATGTGAACCTCTGTATCATTTCTATAAACTTTATTTGTGAAACAATGTTTGTTATTTATTCATGTGATTTGATGTTTTTTAATGTTATGTAGTCGTTTCAATTGATATAATTGATATCATAGAGACTAGAAATCAGCCATTATTATCTAAAACCAATCCGATATGCAATTTTCATAATTTTATAATATATGATACGCATTTTGTTATTTCAAATAATTGCATGCCATATGTTTATAATGTATATAATATGGATTATGTAGTGAAATACATAGTAATAACAGAATTAATATTGCTATATTCACAATTTATATTTGTTAGAATAATTGAGTCACAAGGAGGAATATGTGAATTTGGTACATATTGAACGTTAATTTGAAATTTACATTTAGATGGTTCAAAAAGTTATATAGCAAATTGTTGGTGTTATTTTTCTTAATTTGATATGTTTGAACAGAGGCGATATGTAAAAAGAATATGTATTATGGAATTTTATGGAGTACCAAAGATTAACGAAATGCATACATATATGTTGTGTCATATTTTATGGACACTAGAAAACTAAGTGGAAAGTAAAAATTCGTTTACAGCATGTACATCATCAGCAAATATGTAATGCCAACTAAAGATAAAGATAGAAAATATTTACACTTCAGTATTGTCTAATTTGGCTTATTAAGTTATAAAATTGAAATTATAATTTAGGGAAATAGAATAAATACTACGACACATACGATCTATAGAAATTAAATTTATCTATCTTTCAACTGAGTAGTTTCCGGACAAAGAATATTTTTTTAAAAAAAGTATTTCATATAAATAGAAGGCAGTAACATTATATAAAATGATATAATGATTATCAAATAAAAATATTTTTATATGGCACTAACAGAAAATTTCACTCGATTTTGTTAGTTTGAAATATCAATTTCGTTATTAAATGATATTAAGATTACTTTTGAATGTCAAAGTTACATGGACTTGGTTAATTTTAACACAGATATAACGGATCAGATTATCATACCAGACTGTTGATATGATATAGTTTGATATAGTCTGTCGAACGAGGGGGTCCATGACAGTGACAATTGTGTCTGTCATTTTAATCCACAGGTAAAAACATGGTCATCCCTCAACAGAATACGCACGAACCACGGAAGATGCGCAGACTCTCTTCACAGATGGGGTAAGATACCATCACCCAGATGCGACTGTGGAGCCGACAGACAAACCGTACGCCACATAGTGGAGGAGTGCGAGATAAGAGCTTACGGTGGAAACTACTCCGATTTCCTGACTGCTGATGACGCTGCAATAGACTATATACGTAATCTTGACGTTTGTATTTAATCTCACTGTATTTGTCTCCTGTTGCGCGTATTTTGTTTGTGATATACCGTGTTCCTTTTATATTTATATATTTTATATCTTTTTGTATTGTTTATATTTTTACGTGTATTAGTTTGTAATATCTGTTAAACGATGTGCTTGCCATACGATAAATAAATAATAATCCACAGGTAAACTGTATATTCTGTAATTTTTTTGGTATCGTCTGTCAAAATCTTCCCTGACTGGTTGGACAGACTATACATATATTGTTTCTGACAGTACATATGTATAGACTATTAAATATCCTGTTAACGACTTAGATATCTGGATGGAATATAATATGTTAAATTGTTGAATTTTATAAATTGAGTTCTTTTGAAACTTTACGAAATCGTTATGAAGATAAATCTATTTTAATATATTTTGATGCAATTAATGTTTTATTCAAGAATAAAGTCATTTGGAAAATATAATTTTTAAACAATATGTTTATGTTGTTTCCTGTAAATATAAGTTTTCTTTTATTTTATGTTATATGTTTAGAGATGTTAATATGAGATAAAATATACAGGGTGGCTCTGAATAGGTGTCCGATATTTTAAAGGGAGATTTTACAGGGTGTTCTATAATGCTTCGTTTTCGAGATACAGGGTGTCGAGCGTATTTTCACGTTATCTGGAAATGTCGTCACAAAAATAAGAAACCGAAAATCAGATATGATGCTGTCAATTGTTTCTGAAAGGTTGTTTTATAAAGAAAATGCTTTGAATTAAAATTTGTTTCTTATTTGAAGATATTGCGGGCTACTGGTTTAGTTGGCATACTGAACTAAAATTAAAAAAAATACTATTGAAACTTTAAGATTTGGTATGTTAGTATATGACATAAATTAAGATTGATTGATGTATTCAATTGTTTTTGGTGACTTCCTGTTTCACCGGAAATGACTACAACTTTTGATTTTTAAATGGCACCCTTGGTATTTATTTACCTTATTCGATATAAAATGACATTCTGAATAGAATGACATATCACATGTCAACATTTGACATTCACACTTAATAAAAAATCTTATTTTAATTTTCAATCTAGAGTGCCATGGCTATGTTAAAAACACTAATTCGTAATTAAGAAGCCTTGGAAAAATAGATTTGATCGTCTAATGTTTTTAGTGTCTTGTCCTGGCCGGATAAAAATACCTAAATCGTATTTGTAATCATATCTCAATTTTTTCAAATGGAACGAGGGTGGCTCATTAGCATATTTGGAAAAATAATTTTTTATGAATAATTTGATACCACACACTTGGTATTTCGAGTCAATTTTTCGTTTCGAACCGCAAGTTATAATTTCAAATAAACCATATGCGAAAATGTCAAAAGTTGAGATATGATGTCATTCTATTCTGAGTGTTATTTTCTATCGAATAAAGTAAAAAAATACAGAGGGTGCCAAAATCAAAAGTTGTAGTCATTTCCGGTGAAACAGGAAGTGACCGAAAACAATTGAATACGTCAATTAATCCTAATTTATGTCATATACTAACATACCAAATCTCGTTTTTTTAACTGAAAAAATAAAAAAAATTATAGGGGTGAGCCACTTTTGACGCACCCGGTATATATCTTGATAATATGGTAACATAAGTAGTAGAATAAATTTACAAGAAGAATAAATAAAAAAGATCCCGTGGTCCCCAAAATTTCAGCAAAACACATTTCTTTTCTCAATTTTCAAGGTAAAATAACTAGGTTATTTCGGACTTAGTTGAAAAACAGCAAAGAGAAAATATGATTCTCTTATCGAGATCTATCAGTCAAGAAAATACTTGTACTTATTTAAGACTCACCCTGTATAGACCAGCCGAAAAAACAGAAACCAGCGAGAAACCACAAAACCCTATTTAGGACATACATTCATATGATTTTTTTTTCTTAGAATAGGACCAAGAATATCCTCCTTGAATATTAGCATGTCATTGAGGAATACCATATATTAATAAAAACTTACTTTCACTAATGAATAATCCCCCTTAAATATTCTTTAGGACTTTATACAAAAATTATATTTAATTTGTAGGCATATGTTTCTCGAGAGCTCATTCCACACAAAAAAATACCTAACAATAAGTTGGCACTACATATCGACTTATCTAAGACTTTGAACACTGTTCGAACATCGTTTTAAACACCGCTATCTAAACGAACGTCTATTATTTAAAAATGTTTCAGTCAAAGGTTTATTCTAAGTATTTCACTCGCGTAAAACTACAACAACTTCGACCTGTCGTAGTTCTCCATCTCCCATTGCTGGTGGTCCAGCTCTGCGTTGCACCTCTCCATGGTCAGCTTCTTCTTGGCCGAGTCGATGCCCAGGCACTTGTCGCTGCTGCCGTGCCTGATCAGCTTCTTGTCCGAGTCGTAGTCCCAGTACTGGTTGCCCTTGCTGCCGTGGCAAGGGTAGAGGATCACCTCTTGGCCGCTGTAGTCCAGGCATGCCTCGTCTCTGCGAATTTCGCCCGACTTGCTGTACAACCAGAACTGGAAAAGAGAAAATTAAGTTAGAATATATTTAAATTTTAAATGTCATATAATAAATAAATAAATAAATAAATGCCTTTATTATCAAAAATTTTTTCAATTTGTAGACAAAGGTAAACTAACAAACAAAGTAAAAAAACAAGGTACACAAACAAACAAACAAAAGATAATACAAAACATTATACAAATAATATTGTCAGTCTTATTGTTAAAATAGACATTTATAAATGTTTCTAATGTCAAAGAACAAAAAATAAAAATAATATTCAAAAATATTTAGCTAGTTTATAGTAAAATATTAATGACCTCTAAATAAATTCATTTCGATGTCATTAGTAAATATAGCAATATAGCAATATAGCAAGCATTAGACCAGTGTTTACAAGATCAAACTTGATTTTCAAAATACAATTCATTTACGGCATAGAAAGCCTTGTCTAGTAAATAAGAGTTCAATGCTTTGCGAAATGAAAAAAAAAATGATGTTATGGATTTGATTTCAAATGGCAGGTGATTGTGCATTTTTTTCGAGTTGTATAATATTGAACTTTTAACTAACTCTGAGCGTGGGGTAGGTAGATAAAGATCTTGCTCCGCGTTCCTGAGTGGATAAGTGTCAGAGGCCTTTCTTGAGAAGCTGATACATGTTTACGTATTAGGCAAACGGATTCAAATATAAATAAGGAAGGAAGAGTCAATATTTTTAATTTTTTAAAAAAGTCCCGGCAATGAGTTCTGCTGTTTAGTCCCAGTGAATATCGAACAGCTCCCTTCTGGAGCCTGAAAATGCGGTCAAATTGAGTCGCACAACACGTACCCCAGAATGGAAGGGCATACCTGAGGTGCGACTCAAAAAGTGCATAATAAACAGTTCTAACCAATGACAAGTTAAGTTAATTTAAATACAGGGTGGTCCGAACTTATATTAGGTTTATCAGAAAAATTTTTATTCTTGATAAAAATCTCTGCAGCTATTGGCTCAGATAAGATAAATCGTGCGTTGCTCAACAGATTTTTTGATAAAGATCATTCTATAGATGTTAATAATTTAAAGTTACTCAAACCCAGGTCTCAAATTATAGGTAATTAGATGCATATCACAGTACTGTAAACCATTATAAATAGGAATTGTTGGTTAGGTTCAAAATTTTTTCTTTTAAATAAATTTAAGCGTACAAAAGAAGAATGAAATTATTGAGCAAACCTACAGTAAGATTAGCCATGAAACATGGCTAAAATACGACATGTTTCATGGCTAATCTTACTGTAGGTTTGCCCAATAATTTCATTCTTCTTTTTTATTATAGTCCCCACGATAGCATCTTTTGTTAAGCGTACATACATACATACATACTGCAATTACTCGCTGACGAGTATTTGACACGCATCACAAGATGGTCACGCAATGCGTTTTCTTTCATGAGCCTTTCTGTGACTGAAAAGCCCGATACGCGATGTTATCTGTCTACCGCACTAAGGACATTCATAAATCTCATTGCTTTGTTGCCTCTTTACTTTTTGGTTGTCGCTCTTAACTGACTTTACAATTCTTCTCCATTTCGTTCTATTGTAAGCTGCTTCTTCCCACTCATTCTGCATGTTAATCCTCTTTAAGTTTTCGTGGAAAATATCCTTATACCTTTTGAGTTGTCCACCCGCCCTCCTCTTACCGTCTATAAGCTCACCGTAAAGTAGAGATTTTGCTATGCGGTTTTTTTGCATTCTGTATACGTGACCAGCCCATCTTAAGCGGGACTTTGTAATTATGACTTCAATACTCTCGCAGTTAGCTTTTTCAAGGACCGATACGTTTGCGACATGATGGAACCATTTGATTTTTAAGAGTTGTCTAAAATGTCTCTGTTGCAACTTGTTTAATACGTTCATGTGTCGGCGGTACGGCACCCAGGTTTCGCTTCCACATAACATGGTGGGAATTATTATTGCTCGGTACACCGCAAGTTTCGTTTTTGTGCTCAAGTCATGATTGTAGAAAACCCTGTCTTTTAATTTCCAGAATGCTCTTGAGGAGCTGCTAATCCTGTGCTGAATTTCAGAGTCGATATTGGCCTTTTCCGAACTCAAACTGCCGAGGTAATTGAATTCCGCTACATATTCCAATAGTTCTTCTCCGATTTTTATAGCATTGTTGTGATTTTCCGGGGGAGTGGACATGATTTTAGTTTTACCGATGTTCAGCTTAAGCCCCAGTTCAACATTTCTTGCAATTGCTGTAACGTATTTGCAACTAGAGTACAGTCATCGGCGTATTGAAGTTCTGTAATTAATTTTGTGCGTGTTTTTGCCCTGAGTCTTTTTATGTTGAACATAACCGCCGTCGTATCTGTATCGAATGCCCAAACCTCTCTCCTGCAGTTTCCTGTCCACTATAATGGAGAGCGCTGCCATGAATATGTTGAATAGGAGAGGAAACAGAAAATGTACAAATTACAGAAATAAATGGAAAATAACATTTATTTTAAAGCAGCATTATCTGTCACTTTTTCAGACATGTCCTTTAAATCCTCCAATTAAATAGCTGTTCGAAAGAAGTTTTATTTCAAATATGCGCCCATAATGCACATAGAATTTTTCTCACATTCTATGCCTTTTGATGAGATAGATATTTACAATATCGTTTGTCTCATATATCTAAAATAAACTTATTCTATCCCTCTAAACCGGCTCTAATACCGGAACGTACAACCGACAGCATCGGATTTATGCCTGAACGGACGTCATAATTCCATCCAGGGGACGGATTAGTGCCGATATAGATCCGGCAACGCCGTCCGGCCGGCCCACTCGTTAATTTGTCGGACGCGGACGAGATGGGACTGCATCCTACGCTGCCTACGTTTTATGCGGGCATTAGGACGGAATACGGGCGGAATATTGAGGATTATAGGACGGAACTAATACCCCGGTGTAGCCGTAGTATATGTCCCTTTACCTGCACCGGGTTTAATAGCTTTATGATTTATAACAGGAATAAATCGTTGTTGAAAGATTGCCTGTTTCGCATCTGTTAATGGACCTGTTTAAAAGCTTTAAAGGCCTTCAAAAGTTTTAGCATAGAATGGGAAGCACTGATATAAAATTAATTTGTTCAAGATTTCTTTTTGAAACTTTCATTCTTTGTATAAAAATATAGAATTAAGAAATGTTCTTAATCGACTAAAACTATAATCTTATGAGGAATCATATTTCTGCATTTTTATATAATATTTCCACATGATATTGGTCAAATTGGAAGTTGAAAAAGCAGGAGAGGTAAAGTTAAAAATGTATGATTACTCTTCCCTGATGCTTAAACGGAAAAGTCATAATGTTGGAAAATACAAGAGATGTTCAGGTTCAATGATAACAAATCTTTACAACAAATATATATTTTATCTATACTAATATATAAAATCCTTAAGTGACTGACTCACTGATTAATCACGATCCTGCTCAAACCACTCAACGTAAGAAGCTCAATTTTGGCATACAGGTTGATTCTAGGGTTTAGAGGTTCGATAAAAAGGGATATTTCGAAGAAATTCCACTTCCAAGGGGGTGAAACCACCCCTCAAATATTACAATATTTTTATTTAAAAAACGATCAAGTTTCCGAAAAAACGCTTAAACACGTATATTTTATTTTGTTTTTTTACATATTTTAAGATTTTTTAAAAATGTGTACAGGGTGTTTCGAAAAATCTGGTCATTGAGTAATCACGATCCTGTTTAAAGCGCTTGACGTAAAAAGCTGATTTTTGAAAAACGGAGTGAATTTAGGGTGTAGAGATTCAATAAGAAGGGATTTTTTGAAACTCGAATTTTAAGGGGGTGAAACCACCCCTCAAATATTAGAATATTTTTTATTTAAAAACTGGTGAGTTTTTGGAAAAAACTCATAAACACGTATATTTTATTGTTGTTTTACATGTTTTAAGATTTTTTAAAAATTTATACAGGGTGTTTTATAACATATGACCATTGAGTAATCACGATTCTGCTTAAACTGCTTGACGTTTAAAGCTGATTTTTGACAAACGGATTGACTGTTCGATAAGGAGGGGTTTCTCGAATCTCAAATTTCAAGAGGGTGAAAACGCCCCTCAAATATTACAATATTTGTTATTTAAAAAACGGTTAGTCTTTCAGGAAAACGCTTGGACACGCATAATTTATTTTGTTTTTTACATATTTTGAAATTTTTTAGAAAATCATACAGGGTGTTCCAAAAAGTTGTTTAATTGATTAACCATGATTCTGCTTAAACTGCTTGACGTAAAAAGCTTATTTTTGGCAAACGGATTTTTCGAAAGTCAAATTCCAACGAGATAAAAATACCCCTCAAATATTACCAAGTTATATAATAATATCGCCATATTGTTTTTTCTCATGCTGACATAAATTTGAGAAAATTTTATCCAGTTTGTATGTTAATGGAAATTCTTGCTTTGCTTTATCATCACCATGACAAATAAGTAATTCGACGCGAACGAAGTCACGGGTACACGCTAGTATGAAATAAAATGTCTTCTAGCAGTGATGTTGACTTAAATATTGAAATTTTTACAACAATTCGGTCAGATGTATTACTGGTTCTTATCAAGTGTGAACAAATCTATATAAATTATAAAACTACGGAGCTCATATATACAAAGGCATTCACCTGTTATAGAGTGGGATATTTTTTGAAATAATACACTCTTCACAGGCTATATTAATATAGTAATCGCAAAACAATTTCCGATGCACGTAATCAACTTTGAGTGACAAGCGATGGCGACAGCGCTGCCAGATTGTCATAGATTTATGAGATGAATCTTAATGTAAAATTGGAAAACAATATATTTATTATATAATTTTTTAAAGATTTTTATGTTTTATTTTTAATTTAATAATTAATATTGTAGTAATTAATTTATTTATTAACGGTAGTCACTAACACTCACAGTAGCAATAGAGTTAAATTTAAGACAGCAGCTACTCGTTACAAATCGAAATAA